ATCCTGCTGCTCGACGAGGCGACGTCGGCGCTCGACAACGCGAGCGAGCGCATCGTGCAGGCGTCGCTCGACGACATCATGAGGAAGAGCCACTTCACGTCGGTCACGGTGGCGCACCGGCTGACGACGATCAAGTACTGCGACAAGATCGCCGTCGTCCAGAAGGGCGTCATCGTGGAGGAGGGGACGTACGACGACCTGCTCGCCGTCGGGGAGGGCGGCGTCTTCCACGGCCTCGCCGCCAAGCAGCAGGCGAACCAGGCCAAGGACGTCGAGGTGATGCGCGTGGCGGCGGAGGCCTCGCAGGTGGAGGACTCCATCAGCGTACGCCACGTTGAGGTGGTGGAGGGGCTCAAGGCGCTGCACCAGACGAGCTCGATCGGGGCGTCGCTCGGCATCGTCGAGGCGGTGGTCGAGGCGGCGGAGGAGGAGGCTGCGGCCGCAGCGGCGGGCCAGAAGAAGCAGGGGCCAGTGCGGCGGCTGCTCCAAATGTCGCCAAAGAGCGACCGCTACCTCTACGTCATCGGCGTGTCGTGCGCCGCGGTCACGGGTATCGTGCAGGGCTTGCTCGGCTTGCTCTTCGTCCGCTCGCTCACGGCGCTGAGCTACCCATCGCCCGACAAGGTCGAGTCGGAGGGCGTGCTGTGGGGCCTCATCTTCATCGCCGTCGGCCTCGGGCAGCACGCCTTCGAGTTCATCTCGGCGACGACCCTCGGCATCACCGGCGAGCACTTGACGACGGCGCTGCGCACCACGCTGATGGCCAAGCTGCTGCGGATGGAGGTCGGCTACTTCGACTACGAGGCCAACACGATGGGCGCGCTGACCGAGTTCCTGGGCGCGAGGGTGGCGCTCGTGCAGGGGCTCGTCGGCGAGCAGCTCGGCGCAATCACAAAGTTTCTCTTCTTGATCGGCACGATGCTCTTCACCATGTTTTACTGGGGCGACTGGCGCGTCGCGCTGGTCACGCTCGGCTGCCTTCCGATCATGGGCGTCACCATGGGCATCGCGATGCAGGCGGCCATGCCGATGGACCAGGCAAAGCAGGCGAGCAAGGACAACGACAACGAGGCCAAGAAGTCGGCGGGCGCGGTGATTGGCGAGGTGGTGCTCGGGATCCGGACCGTCGCCTCCTTCAACGCCGAGGTCAAGTTCTATGAGGACTACTGCAAGCAGATGGACAAGCTGCTCGCGGTCGGGAAGCGCAAGGCGGTGCAGGCGGGCGTGGGCCTCTTCCTCGCCTTCGCCATCGTCTACTCGATGATGGGCGCCCAGATCTTCTACGGGCTGTGGCTCGCGTCGGTCGGGGCGCTCGGCGCGGCCGAGGCCGGCTGCGACAGCTCGTCGATGCTCATCATGGACAAGATCATGGTGCCAATCATCGCGACGATGATGGTCACCTTCCTGGCCTCGGGCCACGCCATGATGGCCACCGACGCAAAGGCCGCGGCCAAGGCCGCCAAGGAGCTCTTCCAGCGATTCGACCAGGCGTCGCTGATCGACCCAACCTCGGCCGAGGGCGAGCGGCTGCCGGCCGTGCGCGGCGAGATCTCGGTCCGCGACGTCGTGTTTGCCTACCCGACGGCTCTCGACCGGCCTGCCTGCCGCGGCTACTCCCTCGAGATTGAGGCGGGGCAGACGGTCGCGCTGTGCGGCCCGAGCGGCTCTGGCAAGAGCACGATCGTCGCGCTGCTGCAACGCTTCTACGACCCGCAGGCGGGCGCCGTGCTGCTCGACGGCGCAGACATCCGCAGCCTCAACCTGCGGTGGCTCCGCCAGCAGATTGGGATGGTGGGGCAGGAGCCCGTGCTGTTTGAGGGCACGGTGGCCGAGAACATCGGCTACGGCAAGGAGGGCGCCACGCAGAGCGAGATCGAGGAGGCGGCGGTCGCGGCCAACGCGCACACCTTCATCACGAACGACCTCGGCGACGGCTACGCCACCCAAGTGGGGCTGCGCGGCGGGCAGCTCTCCGGGGGGCAGAAGCAGCGCGTCGCCATCGCGCGCGCGCTGGTGCGAAAGCCCGCCATCATGCTGCTCGACGAGGCGACGAGCGCGCTCGACAACGAGAGCGAGCGCATCGTGCAGGCAGCGCTCGACGAGCTCATGGCCAAGCAGAAGCGCACGACCATCACGATCGCGCACCGGCTCTCGACCATCCGCAACGCCGACAAGATCGCCGTGGTGAGGCGCGGCAAGGTTGTCGAGCAGGGGACCCACGACGAGCTGCTGCAGATTGGCCCCGGCGGCGTTTACTTTGACCTCGTCGGGCAGCAGTGATGGAACTGAGGGCGCGGGCTCGGGCCGTGCGGTGCGGGCACCACTCTACTGCGCTAGACCTAGAGGCGTAGAGCGTTCCGGTTCGCCTCAACGCGCCGAACGATCGTGCAGGCTGCAGGCGCCGGCGAGACGTCTCTTTTTCGCGCGCTCGAGAGAGGCACCGCGCGCGCACGGACCGGTGTTTATTATTTTACATGGTGCTTCTGATAAGTTTGATGACGCGCAAAGGGCGGGATATACAGGGCGCACACCGCACCAGGGGACTGATCACTGAACGCCTCTGTCGCACGCCCGTGCGAGCTCTCAGTCGATGGCACTCACTGCGGATGCTGAGGCGGGTGCTGCCGCGGCCGCCGAGAGCTGCGAGAGCATCGCTGCGAGGGGGAGCGCCCACTGGCCGTTCACCGCCTCCGCCGCGGCGGCGGGCGGCGTCAGGCGAGACGCGCGGTAGTCGGCGAGCGCGCTTGCGAAATCGACCGCCTCGACGCAGGTGGCGGCGCGGCGCGTGGCTCGGATCGCGGCCTCGTTGACGAGGTTGGCCAGCTCGGCGCCGCACAAGCCCTCCGTCTCGGTGGCAACGCGGAGGATCGTCTCGCGCGGCTCGGCCACGGGGCACTTTCGGCAGTGGACCGAGAGGATGTGGAAGCGTCCCGTCGAATCGGGCAGCGGCAGCGGCACCACGCGGTCGAATCGGCCCGGGCGGGTGAGCGCCGTGTCGAGGGCGGCGAGCCGGTTGGTCGCGCCGATGACGAGGATCTGGTGCGACGCGCCTACTCTCGGGTGATCTCGGGTGCTCTCGGGCTCTCTCGGGTGCTCTCGGGTGATCTCGGCGCGAGGATCCGATGCGACAGAACGCCTCGCGGGTCTGCCCCGTGTGTGTGTTCCGCGAGGGTGCGTGTGCCCCGTCGTCCGTGCTAGGACATGTTTAAGACTGGCTGACTCTCCTTGAGCTTGACCCCTAGGAAGTGTCTCGGAAGTGTCTCGGAAGTGTCTCCGAAGTGTCTCGGAAGTGTCTCGGAGGTGTCTCGGAAGTGTCTCGCGCCGAAGCCGTCCATCAGCGCGAGCAGCTGGTTGAGCGTGTGGTCGTGCTCCTCGTTGCCGCCGGCGCCCTCGTTGCGCCTCGAGCCGAGCGCATCGATCTCGTCGATGAAGAGAACGCACCTACCATCTCGCCCAACCTCGCGTCACCTCGCGCGATCTCGCGTCGACCTCGCCGAGGGATGGCTGCCGCGCACGGCGCCAGGCGCGCCGCCGCCTCGAAGACGCCGCGCACGCGCCGCGCGCCGCGCCCGACGAAGACCTCGACGAACTCGGAACCCGCGCACGCGAGGAAGGGCACACCCGCCGAGCCGGCCACTGCCTTGGCGAGGAGCGTCTTGCCCGTGCCAGGCGGGCCTGCGGCGCGGCAGAGCGAGGCGGCGTGAGGAGGCGTGAGGAAGCGTGAGGCGGCGTGAGGAAGCGTGAGGCGGCGTGAGGCGAGGGTGGCGCACTCGGCCGCTGCGCGGACCTCGCCGGCGCGAGGGCGAGAGATGGGAGGAGAGGCGGGGAGGTGGGGGAGAGAGCTGCGGAGGAGACACGGTAGCGAGAGCTGGAGCTGGAGAGGAGCTGGGGAGGAGCTGGAGAGGAGCTGGAGAGGAGCTGGGGAGGAGAGAGCGCGGAGGGAGAGCTGCGGAGGGAGAGCTGCGGAGGGAGAGCTGCGGAGAGCTGCGGGAGAACCCTCGAGGAGAGCTGCGGAGGGAGAGCGCTCTCCTGTGAGCAAGACGCCGCGCGGCCGGCGCGCGCCGAGCCGCGCCCAGCGCTCGGGGCTGTGGAAGAAGTCGACCACCTCCTGCAGCTGCGCCTTGGCCGCCGGCATGCCGCCCACGTCCTCGAAGGTGACGCGCGCCGAGTCGTTTGTCGGCGCGGCAGCGTCCGGCAACTCGACCTGGCCGCCTCCGAGGTCAGAGGTGAGGCGGAAGAGGAGCCAGCCGCACACGCCGAGGTAGGCGAACGGGAGCAGCAGCACCACCGCCGACTTCCACGCGGCCGGCCCGAGCGCGCGGAACTCCACCCGGTGTGCGTGCATCAGCTTGACGAGCGAGCGCGTCTCGCCCGGCAGCAGCTGCGCGCGGTAGATCTGGCCGTTGTGGAGGCGGTAGGCGCACGCGCCCGCGGCGATGCTCACCGTGCTCACCAGCCCGCTCTCCACCTGCCGCATCAACGTCGACATCGGCACCTCCAGCCCGAGCGCTCGCCGCTGCTGCCGAGCCGAGTGTATCGCTGCGGCGACGAGCCCGGCACCGATCGCGAGCGCTGCACGCAGCGGCTTGCTGCCGGGCTGATCGATCAGCTCCTGTCGCTGGCGCCGGAGCCAGTTGACGACGTCGTGCAGCACCGGCATTTGTAGTGCCAGTCCCGTGCCTAGTGTCGAGTGCGGTGAGGTTGCGACGGCAGCGGCGGAAAAGAAAATCCGCGTGCCTCTGTACGGCCCTGCGAACGCGCACCCCCCAGGGCTAGGGCTCTCTTGCCCGCAACCCGATCCCGATCATCCGGCCCCGTGGGTGCGCTTCTTAGCTCCCCGCACCCCGGCCCTGGATGTGAGGCTACCGACTGCACTCCAAGTGCTCCAAGTGCACCAAGTTCTCTCTTCTTCTTCACATAAACGCACAATCCCAGGCCCGAAATCGCACAGAGACAGTCACGCAACACGGAGTCCCAGGGAAGGCGAGCAAAAACCTTATCGCGCGCTCTTCTTCTTCGCCCTCGATACAACAGACATGGCACACATGCGCTACAGTCTGAATTACCAACTGGTACTACTACTTATCAGTCGACCCTCCCATGGCGATCACTGGCCCCGCCCACGAGCCCTGGACCCACTCCTCGTATTTTGGCGTCCCTCCGTACTTGGCCTTTTGCTTCTTCTCAAGCCCCGCGGCCGCCTCCCCCGCCAGCACGAATAGAATCCCCACCCAGCCGACGGCCGAGCCGATCAGCCAGGGCAGCACGCTGCGCGCAAAAGAAGCGCCCTGCGAGAGGGCCACGAGGGCGCCGAGCAGCGCGCTGGCCGTCCATCCGAAGAGCTCGCCCGTGTAATTGGGGTGGCGCAAGTATCTGAACGGCCCGGAGGTGACCAGGTAGCCCTTGCCCTCTTTGGCCTTGACGTACGTCTTGATGGTGTCGCCCAAGGCGGCGATACCAAAGCCGAGGAATGAGCAGGCGACGAGTGCGGCCGCCGCCGGGCCAGAGGTCGGAGCCACGGCCGAAATCCGAAGTGGCGCGGCCATGAGGTAATAGAGCGCCGAGCAGCCAAGAATGACGGGCGCGCGCTTGAGCCGACCCGCAAACGAGGCTTCACGCTTCTTCATCTGGTGGATCTCCTCGGGCAGGGCCAGCTCGCGGTAGAGGAGAAACAGATTGAGGCGCAGCCCGTAGAATACGAGAGCGAGCGCGTGCGCCTGAGCGAGGGCTGGCACCGAGCAGCGCAGCGTCAGCGCGCCGGCAGCGAGCATCGCTCCGCCGTATCCATACGAGACGGCGTAGCCCGTCTTCCAGAAGCCGAGGCACGTCGGAAGAATGCTCGCGGCCGCTAGGCTAGGAAGGCACGGCAATGCAGCGGGTGGAGGTAGCGAGGCGGTGACGTGGCTGCTGCGGGTGTGTGGCGGCGGTCGCGTCGCGATCGGGCGCAGTGCAATGGCGTGAGGAATAATCGCCGCGAGGAGGAAATCGCGTAGCATGACCACGGCCGAGGGTGAGACCCTGCAAACGCGCTACCCTACTCCAACGAAGGGAGGGAGAGGCGCCGGCACCCCAGCGTAGAGGGCGTCGTGTAGCCCTCCTTTTGGTATAATAAGGGAGGGCGCGTCCCTAAATTTAGTGCGTGTGAATGAACTTTAGTGATACAGTGGGTTGCGGGCATTAAGAAAACGTCGCATTAAGAAACCCTACCAAACGATTTCCGCAAAAATCTAAGAAACCACGGGGCGCCGCAGGCGCGGCCCCGAGAAAAGGCCAGACACGAGTGTGATGTGAACGGGTCCGGAGCCCCAGCTGCAGCTCAAAATTTCTCTTCGCCTGCGGCAGCGCACTTGTCACTTTTCAAGTCTGCGGTGTTCTGAGTGGAGTGGATGGAGGCGTGTGTGCGTCTTCCCGTCATCCAGAGAGCCCTCGGCGGCAGACTCTCGCGCCATCATCTCGTCGGGCTCGTCGAGAGGCAGCTCGAGCCGGGGCGATGAGTCCCTCACCGAATAACGGACGCGGCTCGATCCGATCGGATCCGATTCGACCCACGCCCAGTCGCACAGGCGGTTCCCTGTGACGCCCCGCAGCGCGGCCAGCAGCGCGATCCGCGGCGACGCATCACGTGGGCGCATCGGCAGCTCGCGCACACGATTGCGTGCGGCGTGCACGCGCGAGGCCGCCTCCTCGGCCCGGCGCCGTCGCTGCTGCTGCTGCTGCTCGCGCGCCTCCTGCTTGCACTTCTCCTCGAGCACGCGCTGCTCCTCCTCAACCACGCGCAGCTCCTCTGCTGCCTCCAGCTCCAGCCTGGCATCTTCTCGATCGTAGCGAGCCGCAGTCTCTGCTGACCGCTCCTCCTGGGAGGCGGTCAGGCGACGCCAAGCCTTCGTGGCCGTGTTAAAGGTCGTGCGGCTCTCCCTTTTGTCGTGTGCCGGCCAGCGCGTACCTGTCATCTGCCAGAACCACATTGTTGGCTCGCCGCTGTCGCCGTTGCGGGCCTCGAGCTTGTCAGCGCCACGGTAGTCGGTGAGGTTCGGGGGGTCCCACTGCGCCGCGCTCTCGCGCGTGAAGAGGCGCGGGCGCCCTGCGCGAGCCGCGTGCTCGCAAATGCCGCAGCAGACGTGCTCGCATCCACAGGGCAGCATTGTGCCCCGAGAGTGAACCGGACGTACGGCAGCGGTTGTGGATTAGTGCGAGTGAACCGGATTTCAACTGCCAGCACCGCCAAGGGGAGAGAGTGGGTACCTTACAGAAACAAGTTTCTTCCATTGTACGATAAAAAACTGGTTGAAACAGGCGCCGAATTGCGCCGCGAGCTCTCTTTCGACGAGTGCGCCGAGCTTGTCGCGTCCATGCTCACCTCCCTCACGCTCGCCGTGGCCGCGGCCGGGGCCGCCGCCGTCTTGTCCGTCGTTTATTGCCTCCGGCTGCGGAATTCGCGGCGGCTCGACGCTGACAAGCAGCAGCAGATTGCAGAGACCGTGGAGCTGGTGCGCGAGACCTCGTTCGCATGCCGCCAGCATGCTACAACAAGAGAGGAGCAAGCCGCCGAGCTGTCTCGCATCCGCAATCTGTCAGAGCGAGCGCTGCGCCTGGGGGCAGCTGCTGGCTCCGCCAACGAGTGGGCACCGCCCGCTGCGCACCCGACCATCGCGGCGCTCTCGGCCCTGGCGGATGGGCTCGACGACGAGGAGGAGGCGCCGTGGGACGATGCTGCGTCTGACGATGCTGCGTCTGACGCGCCTCAAAGTGAGGCCGGCGGTCACCAGCTGCAGGCGCGCTTCTCCGTCCTCGCCGCAGACGATGGCGGGTCGCGAGGGAGGGGCCGCAGCTGCTGCAGCGACGTGGGCATCGGCGCGGCGTCGCCCGGCCGCGGCGCCGCGAGGCTGCAGGCCGTGCGAGAGTTTCATGGCGAGGACGAGGAGGATGACGGTGCCCGATCCGCGGTGAGCGCCGCCACCGTGCTTCAGCGCGCGCCCTTCAAGGTGCTTTTCTCGCCGGTCTGAACGCTCTCCGTGAGGCACACTGTTCTTTAGACTCGGTGTCTCAGCCGCGAGGTTCTCGGGAAATGCATGCACTACGTAAATACGGTGTAACATTTTTGCCGATGCGCGGCCGCGGAGCGGCCCGGTTAAACGAAAAAAGCCCCCACATGTCTCATGTGTATGACACAAGACGCGTCCCCCCAAGAATATATGACACATGCACATGGCCCACACGCACACAGACCGACGGTGCCGAGTGCGAAACGGAAACGGATTGCACAAGACATGCTTCACGACCAGAGCCGACCCCCCCCCCCCCCCTTCGCCCGCCCGCCCGCCCGTCGCGGCGTCTCGGCGCAGTGGCCAGTGCTCGCTCTGCCCACCGCCCCACCGGCGGGAGCCCAGCGCCCTGTCTCCGCACCAGCCACCGGCCACCGCTCCGGCCACCGGCCGCCCCGCGCCAAGCGACCAAGGACGCAAGCACCATCGCTGGGCTCGACGTGCTCTCTCGGACCGCCGCGGGCCGACCGCCATCCAGACACGGCACCGACGCGCCCACGGCTGCTCGCGTGCGGGCACACAGTGCAATGCCAATCTCGCCCCCCTAATGCCCCCTATCGGGGGAGGCTCTCGGCCGTAATCGCCTGGACGAACTCCTCAAAGTCTATCCGGCCGTCACCGTTCCGGTCGACCATCTCGAAGATCTCGTTCACCTGCGGCGAGGTGCGAGGCACACACTCCTCCACAACACGCAAGGTGTGGGGGGGGGAGGGGGAGGCCCTGTCCACTGCACACAAACGGGAGCTGGCACGGCACTCGCCTCGGCGTCCCGGCAGCGCCTCTCGCGTGATCTCGCGTGATCTCGCGTGATCTCGCGTGCCGTGATCTCGCGTGATCTCGCGTGATCTCGCGTGATCTCGCGTGATCTCGCGTGATCTCGGCTGATCTCGCGTGATCTCGCGTGATCTCGCGTGATCTCGCGTGATCTCGCGTGGTGTGATCTCGCGTGATCTCGCGTGATCTCGCGTGATCTCGCGTGATCTCGCGTGATCTCGCGTGCCGTGATCTCGCGTGATCTCGCGTGATCTCGCGTGATCTCGCGTGATCTCGCGTGATCTCGCGCGCCGTGATCTCGGGAGATCTCGGGAGATCTCGCGTGATCTCGCGTGATCTCGCGTGGTCGCCTCGGCATCCCGCAGCGCCTCCTCGCCCTCGCTCAGCCTCTCGAGGATCGTCTTGAGCTCGGCGCTTGAGATGTCGGCCGCGTCGCCAGCCACCGCGTCGAAGGCGCGTCGCATGTCGCCGCTCGAGAGCAGCAAGCAGCCCGAGCCCATGCACGCAAACTGCACCTCCGCAAGCTCCGCGGCGTCCGCAGCCTTGGTCTGGTCGGCGACTGCCTTGCGGGCGGCGGCGATCTCGTCCGCGTTGCCTGGGAGCGAGATCAGCCGAGATCAGCCGAGATCAGCCGAGATCAGCCGAGATCTCGTGTCCGCGCTGCCGAGGAAGACTCCGCTCAGCGGCGCGACGGCGCCCTCCGCGGCGATGGGCTTGAGGGAGGCGTCGAGCTGGTAGACGAGGGGGACGCCTAGAAGGTTCCTGGCAGGTTCCTAGACGGTTCCTAGACGGTTCCTAGACGGTTCCTAGACGGCGTCGGGCTGGTGTGCGAGGGCCTGTCGGGATCTCGAGCTCCGTCACCGCCTGGCAGGGGGCGCGAGTCGTGAGGTGGCATCTCGGCTGATTTCGACTGATCTCGACTGATCTCGACTGATCTCGACTGATCTCGGCTGATCTCGCTCCTCGTCCGGGATGGCGTCGAGGTGCTTGAGGATGCCTCGGATCGAGTTGCCGTGCGCCGCGACGAGCACCTGGGGACGAGATCACCCGAGATCGACCGAGATCACCCGAGATCACCCGAGATCGACCGAGATTACGAGCACCCCGGAACCGCACGGCGAGCTCGTCTCTCTCCGTGCGCGCGCTACGGCAACAGAGCGTCTAATCTCGGGTGATCTCGGGTGATCTCGGGCACCGTCTTGCCCTTGGTCAGCGCCGGCACGATGTCGCTCTCCCAGTAGGGAAGCGTGCGCTCGAGCGTGTCCTGTGTAGTAGGGCGAGGAGGCGGCGCGGGAGGATGGCTCGGCAGGGAGGAGCCAGTGCGAGAGGCACTTGGCTGCAGGGCTGTGTGTCACGGCGGCAGGTCTGTGTCACCACCACCGCCGCCCGCCGCCGCCACCGGCCGCCACCGCCCGGGCGCGCGCCTTAAGGCACTCTGACAGGGGCAGCTCCTCCTCCCGGATGTGGTAGTACTGCGGGTTGTTGCCCGGGTAGAACGGCGAGTCCTTTTCGACCGGGGGAGGAGGGACGTCGTACGAGCGGCGCCACCGCTTGACCTGCTCGTCGCCATACTTGGCGGCCGTCTCCTTCTTGTTGAGACCGGTCAGCCCGCCGTACATTCGCTCGTTCAGTCGCCAGCACGCGTTGACAGGCACCTCCTCCTGGCCGGAGATGCTGAGCACGATTTCGAGCGTCTGCCTCGCACGCTTGAGCCGGCTGCAGTAGGCGACGTCAAACTCGATGCCCTCCTTCCAGAGGGTCGCCGCGGCGCCCGCGGCCTCGTTCTTGCCCAGCGTCGTCAGTTCGACGTCGGCCCAGCCCGTGAAGAGCGAGTCGGCATTCCACGTACTCTGCCCGTGGCGCAGAAAGACGACGGTGCTATGCGCCTCGCCCTTCTTGTCGAGGAGATGAATTTCGCCGCTGCGACGGGCGGCGGGACGCAGCGCGCCAGCGGTACGCACAGCGCCAATAGCGCCGGCGGTACGCACAGCGCCATTAGCGCCGGCGGGGTGCAGTTGCAGCGCCTCTGCGGCGGCCAGCGCTAGCACGACGACTGCGAAGCTTTTCATTACGACTGTCGCCATTCGTTAGCATAGATTTTTTTTTTCTTCCGCGCAAGATGTGGCTAAGGGCCTGCCCACGCGGTACCATTGACAAATCTGCAATATACCCCCACGCGAACAAATAGCAAAATCCGAATACCGTGCGCAAATCCGACGATGTCGGCCGTGGACGGGACGCAAGCTTTCAGCTGGTGCCAAGCAAGAAAGATATCCGTCAAATTGAAGCCAAGAACGTCCGCCAAATTTGTGTTTGGAGCAACTGAGGGAAGCCGGAAGCGGTTGGAGAGGCAGCCGGCGTCTGCCGTCACAACGAGTCCCAGCGCTGGTTGGACATGCGCGTCGGCTCGCCCGAGGACTGCTGTCGCGACCCTCCCGTCGTGCCGCAGCCTCCGACGAGCTCTGCAACCGAGGAGAGTGAGGGTGCGCCTCCCCTCACTGCTGGCCTGGCTGCGCACCCCCCCACAAAGCACCCCCTCGAGCATCTCTACAAGTACAAGCACAAAGGGTGACCTTCTCCAAGTCGTCAACGCGCCCGGCGGCTCCGGCAAGACTTTAGCCTTGGCCACCCTCCTTGCGGAGCAGGAGGAGATCCGCTCTCGGTCGGCAACGTGGCAGCTAGTCGCGGGACTCCGGTAGTTTGAGTGACCGCCCCCCTGAGTGAGGACAGGGAGAGAGAGAGCTTTTGTGGTGTTGGTGTACGCAATAACGGGACAGGGTAGTTAGTCGTTCTCTCTAGCTCCCCTTCTAGCTCTTAGCATGAGCTGCGCCGTGTGTCCGACCCCTTTTGCGCAGCAACACCTTAAACCTTTAGGCCCTCCAAATTCGGGTCGGAGCGTAGCGGAGACCGGAGTGGGCCCCGAGTTTGAAAAGGGCGACGGACGCTTGCGTCCTAGCCTCCAACAACGCCTCCCCGGCGCAGAGGGGCCCCCGGAGGGATGCTCAACCGCCCCACGCCACGCCGCTTGCGGCGGTCCTCTTCCCAGCTCCGCTGAGGGCCCGTACGTTATACCGAATTGCGCCGCCAGCGGCGTGGCAGAGGAGCGAGGCGTCCTCGTCGCCCAGCCACCGACGGATAAAGCCACGTGCCAGGCACGTCTTGCCCGCACCGTACCCTCCGTGCAGCAGTAGCGTGTCGCCGGCACGCGCGCGCTCCGGCCAGCGCGGCGCCGAGCGCCATGGTGTCGCCTGCCGTTGGGAGCGGCAGCCAGGGTGTCCCAACGTCCGCCGCGGTCACACCCAGGCTGCGATGAGCCGGCCGGGCGGACAGCAGCGTCGGCCAGCCGCGCGCTACACTCAGGAGCGCCATGTACACAAATGTATCGGCGCGCCGCGCGCGCTCGCGCGTGTGCTTGCGCCGGGAGTTTCTTCTTTGCTGTGAGATTTGTATTTGTTCCTCTCGAGGTTCCATTCCTTCCCCGCTTTCGAGAGAGGCTTGAGCGCGAAAGAAACATCCGAGGTGCTCGCTCCTGCCGACACGCGCCTCATGCCCGGCCGACCAAAAGCTGGCTCAGCCGCCTCCCGGCGCGGACACGCTTCAACGGCGGCTGCTGCACCGCTCGCGCTGCCGAAAAAGATCGAGACAGCGGCGGCGGACGGCAAGGCGGGCGTGGTGCAGACGTGGCTCGCCGGGGACGGGCTGGTTGATGCAACGTGCGTGCGTAGCGGTGTGAGTGGCTGTACGCTCCTGCTAATCGCCGCCGCCAAAGGTCACAAGCAGCTGGTCGAGGCTCTGCTGAAGCGGGGCGCGAAGGTGAACGCGCAAAATAGCGTCGGCACTACGGCGCCGATGGCTGCCGCCGTCACGGGCTACGTGCAGGTGGTCGAGACGCTGCTGCGGCACGGTGCGGAGATCAACCTGCAGAGCAGCCACGGTTGCACTGCGCTAACGTTGGCCGCCAACCAAGGCCACGAGCGGGTGGTCGAGCTGCTTTTGCGGCACGGCGCAAAGATCAACCTTCAAGCCTTCGACGGCTACACTGCGCTCGCGAGCGCCGCCTGCTACGGCCGCCCTGTCGTCGTGCTCCAGCTTCTGCGGGCGGGCGCAGACATGGCGCTGCGCACTGCGGACGGCCACACAGCACTGCAGATCGCCAAGGAGAATGGTCACACCGAGTGCGTCGCCGCTGTCAAGACGTTTCTCGGCGAGGTGGCGGCGGAGAGGCGCGACGCGGCGGCGGTCGAGGCGGGCGGCGCGGGGGCAGGCAGCGCTTCGGGCGGCAGCAGCGGGCCTGTTCCCGAGGAGATCGGCGAGGCGGGCGGCGCAGGGGCGGACGGCGATGCCGCTTCGGGCAAGGGGGCAGCGGCGGCACCAACTGCCGCGTCCTCTTCCGGCGGCGTGGAGAGCGGAACGGGCGAGGACGCTGTCCCCGAGGAGGTCGTGGAGGCGGCTAAGCAATACGACGAGGCGGTGCTGGCGCTGGTGATCGCCGCCAGCAACGGCCACGAGCGGCTGGCCGAGCTGCTGCAGCATGGCGCGGAGATCAACCTGCAGGACAATGCCGGCTTCACTGCGCTGATGTGGGCCGCCCACATGAACCGCCCCGCGGCCGTACTCTGCCTGCTGCGGGCGGGCGCCGACACGGAACTGCGCACGGCGAGTGGGCACACGGCGCTGCAGATTGCCAAGGAGGAGGGCAGCGCCGAGTGCGTGCGCGCCCTCAAGGAGCATGCGGCGGCCGAGAAGGCGGCCGAGAAGGCGGCGAAGGAGGCGGCGTGGGCTGCGGGGGCGGTGGAGAGGGCGGCGGAGCGGGCGGCGGCGGAGGCGGAGGCGGCGCGGCATGCCGACGAGCTGCTGGCGGAGGTCGAGGCGGAGAAGCGCGGCAAGGGCAAGAAGGGGAAGAAGAAGAAGAAGGGCGGCGGGAGCGGCGGCGCTGGGCCGTCGCAGGATCCCGAGGCGGCGTCAGAGGAAGCAGCCGCAGCCAAGCCTGCGAAGCTGGACAGGGAGGGGTTGATCAGGCTTCTCGAGACGCTCCACGAGGAGCGGATTCGGTACGGCATCACGGCAGAGACGTCGGTCGCGGGGTTGGCGGAGGCGTTGGGAGAGGAGGCCGAGGCGGCAGGCGAAGTGAGCGAGGAGGAGACGGCGGAGGAGGGTGAGGAGGCAGCTTTGGTGGCAGCGGAGGCGCGCCGGGAGGCTGAAGCCGAGGCCGACGCTCTGGCAGCGGCAGAGGAGGAGGCGGCCGCCGCGGCAGCGGCTGCTGCGGCGGCGGCTGCGGCGGTGGCTGCGGCTGCGGCGGCAGAGGCGGCAGAGGCGGCAGAGGCGGCAGAGGCGGCACTGGCTGCCGTCAAGGCGAGGCGCGCGTCAGCGGCCGCCGCGAGGGCCAAGGCGGATGCTGACTAGCCGCGCGCAAGGACAGCAACCAAGTACAGTACTAGTCCTGCTACTGGCGCCGGCGCACGGATCGTGGTTGAAGAGGCATGTGCTGGGAAGAAGGTGGGTGCAGGGAGGAGGGGTGTGTGAGCCGCTGTCCCGTGGTCTTGTCTGTTCAGGGGGGCTCTCCGCGATCTCCACCGCTAAACAGGGGGAGAGTGGGAGGACGCTTTTGTGGGAGGGGTGGAGCTCGCTGCACAGTCCCGTGGTGGTCAATTTAAGTGTCGTTGTTCGGCTTCTGGTTCTCCTTCACGCTTCAGGGAGCCTCCGCGCGAGCGGCCACACACACCACACACTGCACCGACACCCAGATAGATCACGTGATAGATGCCGGCAGAGCCAGACCCGTCGTACTCGTACAGAGCCAGACCCGAGGCACTAGAGCTGTTTGACATTAACTTTGGGCCTAACAGTTGCGCTAGTGTTGGCAGAATATGTGACCACGCAGGCGTGTGGAAATTGAGAGGGTTGGCAAAGGCGGAGCCCCCCTCTCTCTCGCTGCAGCATCGAGCTCTCTTACAGTCTTAGCAGAAAAAGAAGAAATCGAAAGCAACGGTCGCACGGGACGTTCATCACCTCCTTAGAGTAAATACATGCATAATTATATCACGAGACAACTCTGTGTTACCCGACTCTGCATGGACTCTCTCCCCTCAACGAGGAAGTTACAAGAGGTTCGGGGGCGCTCTTGGTGTCGCATTCCTCTCTGACCTCTAATCCCAACCCGACCGGACTCCCCGCGCGGCAAGCTCCTGTACGCGTCGTGCTCCGCCTCGCGCGCGCGCTCTGTCGCTCTGTCGCTCTGTCGCTCTCTCACTCTCTTGTTCTCGCTCTGACTCTCTCGTGCCAGCATGTGCTCTCGACCACAAGAGCGGGTCCATGTGCATGCAAGCCCTGTGTGCCCTAGATAGGCAGAAGTCGGGCGTGTCCGCTCCCGCGGACCGCCGTCAATAAGGTATGGGCGGTGTCAGTTCATTGGCGCGCACCGCGCACCGTGCGCGCCAGTCCCGTGCCCAGTGTTGTGCAAAAAAGAATTTAGCGGGGGGCACTGGACTGTCCTGTGTGGCTGTGTGCCGCCAAGGCGGGACGCACTCAGGGACAGTGGCGACGGGACGCGGCTCGAGGGGCTCCCGCGAAGGCACGGCCGGCAACCGTTCGCGGGGCTCGTCCTCGAAAAAGTCGGGTATGGCTCCGCCCGCACCACTCTCTCGCTGACACGCGCGCCCGTCGACCTTACGACGGGCGCGCTGCGGTCGCACGCCTCCCAAATCATATGCCACGGCCCACGGCGGGCGACCTAGATCAGCACACGCGCTTCTGCTCGCAAACACTCACCCAAAGAAAGAAAGAAACAAAACAGACAACCCAAGGGAGGGATGGGAGGACGGCACGCCGCCACCACACAGGGATTTTAAGGAGAGGTGTGTGGTGCGCGCCAGTCCCGTGCGGCCCAGTGTTGTGCGAGGGAGTTTTGTGGAAAGAAAGAAAGAAAGAAAACAGAAATCCAAACGAGGGATGGGGGAGGAGGACAGGGTCCCCACCTGCACGAGCAGGATTTTGGAAGGACGATCAGCACTTGGAGCACCGCGGTACAATTCTTTTTGAGAGCGCCTTCGTTGTTAATAGTACAAACCCAATGCTGCATTGGATTCTTTTTTGTTCTTTGCCCGTTTGGCGCCTCCCACTCTCGACGCCTCGGCGCCTCCCACTCTTTCGCCGAGCTCTCGACCGCCGCGCTGCTGCCGCGCTGCCGCGCTGCTGCTACGATGGAGGGCCCCGAGCCAGGCTTCGTGTCCCGCCGGGCGATACTGTTCGGGCCGATGAAGTCGCACGCGCGCCGCGCGCTGCGAGACATCATCCAGCAGTCGCAAGATGCACGCAGGTCGTCCAACAACGGCGAGACTGCGTCGGTTGGCAGCGAGGCGGTCATAGACCTCGGCGCCGTCCGCAGCTCCCAGCGGTCGGGGCGCAGCGTTGCCGCGCTGCGGCCGCGCAAGGCGCTTCTGATCGACGCCGGCATCTCCGTCTCTGACGCCGCGCGCAAGATGGCCGCCGCGAACGCCGACGCCGCGCTCGTGCGGACATCCTCGTCGTCTCGCGCGGCGGTCGGCATCGTCACCGACACGGACGTGTGCCGGAAAGTGGTGGCGCTCGGGCGCGACGCAGACGCCACCGCCGTCGAGGCCGTCATGACGCGCAACCCTCAGACCGTGCTCTGGAATGCGACGGCGTCCTCGGCGCTGTGCACTATGGTGGACAACTGCTTCCGGCGAGCGGCCCCCAATGCCCGGCGGCCGTCCCACGGCACCTCGTGCCCACTCCACACGGCACGCGTGCCCACTCCCTGTGATGACGAGTGCGACACCGCTCTCCCCGCGTCCGCAGGCACCTACCAGTCCTCGACGAGGCTAGCTCGGTGGCCGGCGTGGCGCTTTTGTTTCTTTTTTGCACGTGTTTCTTTTCTTGTAGGCTGGCTCGGTGGCCGGGCTGCTCGACGTGGCAAAGTGCCTCTCGGAGGCCCTGGCGGGGCTGCACGGGCACCAGCTGGGCCATGCGGCGAGCGGTCGCCCCGCGGCCCGCGTCTCGACCTCCTCTCGCCCTGACCTCGAGCGTCTCTCCGGATCAGGTGAGCCTGGCCTCACTCCTCGACGATCCAGCGGAGGAGGGTTGCGCGATGGCGGAGGCGGGCTGCGATGGCGGAGGCATGTGTTTCTTTTGCCGCATGTGTTTCTTTTTCTTGTCAGGCGGGCTGCGTCGCCCCGACGGCGTCGGTGCAGCAGGCGGCGCGCGTGTGTATTTCTTTTCGTGCATGTATTTCTTTTTCTTGTAGGCGTCGGTGCAGCAGGCGGCGAGCGTGATGGTGGCGAGGAGGGGCGCTGTCCTCGTGCGCGGCGAGGCGCCGTCCTGGAGATGCTCCCACGACTAAAGCCCTCTCCCACGACTAAGCCCTCTCCCACGACTAAGCCCTCCCCCACGACTAAGCCCTCTCCCACGACTAAGCCCTCTCCCACGACTAAGCCCTCTCCCACCCACGCCAGAGGGCGGCAGTGTCCCCGCCCCTCCCCGCCGCCCTCCCGCTGCCTCCACCGCCGCCGACGCCCTCCCCGTCCGCCCTCGCAGGGCGCCGCGTGCGCCGGCATCCTCACCCCCAAGGACCTGCTCTTCCGCGTCATCGCCGCCGGGCTCGACCCGCGCGACACGAAGGCCTTGCCCGCCGCCGCGGCGCTTGCCTCACCGGACCCTTCCCCTCGGAAGCTTCTCGGACCCTTCCCCGCAGGTCGGCGCCGTCATGACGCCGGACCCGCACACCCTCCCTGTCTCGGCCTCGGTGCTCGACGCGCTCTCGCAGCTGGAGGGCTCCGGCTATCGCAACGTGCCCGTCGTGCGGCAGTCGGGCGAGAGATCGCACAGAGATCGCCGAGAGATCGCCGAGAGATCGCCGAGAGATCGCCGAGGTATCGCCGAGGACGCCTTCCTCGAGCCCCTCAGCGTGCTCCTCGAGATTGCCCGAGATTGCCCGAGATTGCCCGAGATTGCGCGAGACGTTAGGCGAGCCCGTCGGCGTGCTCGACATCCTCGCCCTCATCCGAGGGGCGCTGCACCAGATGCCCGGCACCGGAAGCGACGCGTCGGAGACTGGGTCGGTGATCAACGGCAGCGGCCGCGCCTCGCTGACCAACGGCGCAGTCTCGGCCGCCGCCGACGAGCCCGATGCCGTCGTGATGGCGCCGGGCCAGCCCCGGGGCTCTGCGGAGGAGGAGCGGGCGCAAGCGGCCGTTTGAGAGCGCGCTCTCCCCGCGCGCTCTCACGCCCTCGAGAGACGGCCCCGTGTAGGAGGGCCCTCTCAGCGCGGAGACGCTGCGGTGCGAGCTCCGCGCAGCTCTCGCGCAGGCGGCGACTGCTCACGAGCGGGAGGCGCGCGCCCCTCTCCGAGAATCGACCGGGTGCGAGGAGACGTCCGCCGCCGTCCCTCTCACGCCGGGCTTGCGCCGCGAGCAGGTGAGCAGCCTCGCCGACGAGATGCGGCTGCTCCGGGCGCAGCACCGCCGCACATCGCACGCCGTGCTGGCGTGCAGCGTCGCGAGCGTGGCGATCACAAGCGCTCTCGTCTTCGCCTCCACGCGCCCGCGCCGCTGAGGTCGGGCACGGGCGGGCTGCGCGCTGTGGGAATGCCGCCTAATGCTGACGGCCCCTCGGCGAGGGTAGAGCCGTACGATGTCCGTGTGGCGCCGAGGGCGAAGGGTCGTATCTGGTGCACCGCCGTCTCGCCAGCGCATGACGGTGCAGCGCGAGTGCAGGCTCCTCCTGCACGCACCCGATGACTCAAGCTCTGTCTCACACCACTCTATGCCAGAATGCAATCAGCTAGGGGGGAAACTGGTGTTTTCAAAGCTTTCACTTCCGTGCGTACGGCTCTTTACCCTTCACGGCTCTTCCCTCTTCGCGCCTTCCGTCACGGCGGACGGCGCGTGGTATCATCATCAAAAATCAGCCCCGCGCGCGACACCCGACACCGCTAAACCGGTGTAACCGCATTTAGATATAGAGCCGTACGCACACACACCACACACACGTCAGAGGTCACACACCGCGCGTCGGCGTGGCGCGTGCACGGTGCAGGCCCGCGGCCGCGCACGGCACAGCCACAGGGCTGACTCCTGACACCTATCTCCGCGAGAGAGACAGAGGGCCCGAGGCCGTCTCTCATCTGCACACTCCGGGCTCCGGCGGCACGCAATATTGCGACATGCGAGAGATCTCTCGAGCTCAACTGAGGGAAACTCTGAAAGTCTACACACTTGTGTCTTGTCCGGTGCTGCAGAGAGAATACACTCTGCACTCACCAGCTGAGGCGAACACCGTTGAATAAATAGAGAGCCGCATAGCAAGAACACCGTTGAATAAATAGAGAGCCGCATGGCAATAGACAGATTGGAGCCCATCGTACACGCGCTTCGCAACAAGCGACAACGCGGCCGCCGTCCACGCCACGCCCGTCTCAGGAGGGCGTGGGTTGGAAGCGAGAGCTGGCGATGACGAGTTTGGCGACGCCCTTGAGCAGGCCCTTGACCTGCCTGCGCGACTTGCTCATCGCGCCGATGCTCTTTGCGAGCACCTTGTCGGCGCCGGCGGGGAAGAAGAAGGCGAGGTGGCGGAGGAGCCTCGTCTTGACGGCGCCGACCCGAGTGCCGTCGATGGAATAGTAGACATCCCGGCACCCCGCCGCGTGAGCGCGAGCCATGATCGAGGCGCAGCGGTCGGCGCTCATGCTCTTGTCGAGCTCGAGGTCCACCGCGCCGCTGCCGCCGTCCACGCCGCCCCGCAGGCGCGCGCGGTTGATGTTTGTCTTGACCGCGCCGGGATAGGCGAGCGTGATCGTGGGCGGCACCTGCTCACTCATCCCGAGCTCGACACGCAGCGCATTGAAGAAGCCCTTGAGCGCAAACTTGGAGGCGGCGTAGCCGGTCCGGGTGGGCGGCGCCACGAGGCCCACCACGCTGCTCACCACCAGCAGCCGGACTCCGCCCTCCGCTTGCCGCATGGAACCGAGGCAGGCGTCGAGCACGCCGACGGCGCCCATATAGTTGACGTCCATCAGGTGCTTCATGATGCCCATCGCCTCCTTGCGCTCGCTCAGCGAGGCAAACGGCGAGCCCATGGAGAGCCCGGCGTTGAGCACGAGCAAGTCGACGGTGTCGTCTCCAATGGCGCTGCGGATCGCATCCCAGCCGCTCTCGCTTGAGACGTCGGCTACCACCGCTTTAGCGCTGCTCGCGCCCGCCGCCATGCACTCCTCGCAGGCCGCCTCGAGCGCCTCACGCCTCCGAGCCACAAGGTAGAGCTTGGCTCCCTGCGCGGCGTAGGTTCTAGCGAGAGACGAGCCGATGCCAGAGGAGGCGCCAGTGAGCACGATAGTCTTCTCGCGAGGACTCCACCGTTGGCGAGCGGTGAGCTTCTTCGTCAGTGCGAGCACGGTGGCGAGCACAGCGAATACGGTGGCGAGGACGCACGCGAGGGGCAGCATTCTGAGCTGGTTGCTTCTTAGAGGGAGCCGATAGCGCGCCAAGGAGGCCAGGCGGGTCCTTCCGGCGGAAGAACTTATTATCTCATCCTTGCGTTGTGATCTAAGAACTTGAAAGCGAGGGGAAGAATTTAGGCCGCCTGCACAAGTGCTCCACTGCTGGCGTGCCGTCCTCCCATCCCTCCCTTGGCCGATCTGTTTTCTTTCTTTCTTTCTACATCCCTCGCGCGACACTAGGCACAAGCAAGACTGGCGCGCACTGGCACTACAGTCTGTTGCGGGCATTAATTTTGTTTGTTGAAAACAGGGCATTAATTAACAACTCTAACACTCACACGTCATTTGGGGCCTGGAGCCCTGTTCACGCTCTCTTAATTAAGAAACCCTACCAAGCGATTTCCAAAGCGCCGCAGGCGCGGCCCCAAGAAAGGGCCCACACACGAGTGTGAAACAGGAGCCCCGCTCAATTTTTTTCTTCGCCTGCGGCGCGCGCACTTGTCATTTTGCCCAAGTCTGCGGTGTTCTGGGCGGTATGGATGGAGGTGTGTGCGTCTTCCTGTCATCCCAAGTGGGTGGCAGACTGCGGACTTGCGACATCGGTCCAGCGCTTCCTTATTGTCATTTTACCTAAACGTTCCTACAGACTGTAGATCCCGGCTGACCTGGGGTGCCGGCCGAAGCTAAGAATTTTACAACAAAACTCCCTCGCACGAACACCGAAGCTATGAAACCACGGCGTGGGGTGGGTGGGGTGGGTGGAAAGGCTTAGAAACGGCGGCGTGCCGCGGGTCCTGTTTTCTTAATGCCCGCAACAGATTGTAACACAGGTACACAACGCGGAAGAATTAGTGCGAGCGAGAGCGAGAGAGACAAAGCTTCCCCGGAGCAGCTTCCCCGGAGCAGCGCGCAGCAGACCCAAGCCAAGACGAATGCGTCGCTCCGCCGGGAGCATCGACAAAAAGCTGACAACATACACATACATACATTCATTCATGACGCTCAATAGGCGCTTTGATCCCAATCACGACACATGTGTGACTCGCCTAGTGTGGAGACGCCGTGTACCGTGGGGCCTTGTTGACCTAAGCACGGGAGTACCTAGGGGAGTACCCGTGTGTGGACCGGAGGTAACAGGCTAACAGCAGCAGAGCGAGCGAGAGAGCGAGAGAGAGAGAGAGAGAGAGAGAGAGAGAGAGAGAGAGAGAGAGAGAGAGAGAGAGAGAGAGAGGGAGAGAGAGAGAGGGAGTGGGAGAGAGAGAGACACACACAGGGAGAGAGGGAGAGAGGGGGGGGGGGGAGAGGGAGGGAGAGAGGGAGAGGGAGAGGGAGAGGGAGAGGGGGAGAGGGGGAGAGGGGGAGAGGGAGAGGGAGAGGGAGATGGAGAGGGAGGGAGGGAGGGAGGGAGGGAGGGAGAGAGAGAGAGAGAGAGAGAGAGCGTGATCGACGTGACGTCCAGCAACGCCGGCGCGGCGATGGACCAGGCCAAAGAGGACGGCGCCACTCCGCTGTTTGTCGCGTGCTACAAGGGCCACCTCGAGATCGCCCGGCTGCTCCTCGAGGCCGGCGCTGCGCCCGACCAAGCCCGCAACGACGGCGTCACGCCGCTGTTCGCCGCGTGCCACAATGGCCACCTCGAGGTCGCCAAGCTCCTCTCCTCCTACGGCGCCTCCCGCGCCGCAGTGCCGCCCTTTGGCACGCCCGAGGAGGCTGCAACCCGCCGCGGCCACGCCGACCTCGCCGCCTGGCTGGTCGCCAGCCGCGGCTGGACGCCGCTCGCGCACCTTGAGACCCTCACCGCCGCCCGCGCCACCTCCCTCATGCGCCGCAGCGGCGCAAGCTTGCACGAGGGCGAGCCGACGCCGCTGCGGCGCGCCGCGGGCGGCGAGGGCGAGGCGGCGGCGCTGATCCGGCGGGCGGCGGCGCCGTGGTCGCCGGCAAGCCACACACTCCGACACCCTCTTCCCCGCGGCGGCGCGCGCGCGGGCGGCGCTCCTCGTCCTCTCGCTCTACGAGATCCACGAGCGGTACCACCTCGACTCGGCCGGACCCACGAACGGCATCGCGGCGATCGGCTTTGGCCACTGCGTCTTGGGCTTCGCGATCACGTGCGAGACGGAGTAGAGTAGGGACGGGAGGGGCTCGGTGTTGTAGAGTCGAAACACATCGTTAATACCTGTCTGTGGACGCGGTGTGTGTACACGTGGTCCGCGGAGAGCGGAGGGGGGCGATGGGGGAAGGTGTGTTGGGTGTTCCGAGTTCCCCGAGGATGGACCATGATCCATGTGGAGGACTCGGAGATCGAGAATGGACTGGAGTGTGGACTGTGGAGAGTCTGGATAGACCAAAAAACTCTCTGGAGGTGGAGCCCCCCCGCCGCGATGGAAACATCATGTGACAGACAATCAACAGAGAAACGAGGGAGAGGCAAAAACATGCAAATAAATAAGTGCACGCACCTTTGGGCCCGGTGTGCCACTCGCTCGGCCACACCGCACATACACAGCTCTCTTCTCACCTGGACAGCTGCAGGCCGTCCAGGTGCGACACGCAGAAGCGGACCGCTCGGCCCGCGCGCCGCAGCTTGCGGAGCGAGGGGCTCGCGGAGGGCAGCATGTCCTCCTCCTCGGACGACGACACGCTGGGCGTCCTCTCGGTGATGCGAGGGCTCGACGCGTCCTCCTCCTCGGACGACGACGGCGCGCGGAACGCCTTTTTGGTGCCGGCCGGCGCGGGCGGCTTGACCTGGCCGGACGGCGCGAGCCAGTACTCGACAAAGGGCGGCATCAGGTTGTAGTGCGGCATCTGCGGCGCCCACAGGGAGGCGAGGTACCACCAGGGCAGGGTGACGACGCCCGCGTTCCGCCCGATGGACGCAACCATGTGCCGCACGGCCTGGTCGGTCGGCATCGTCATCGACTCGAGGAAGCGCTTGGCAAAGCCGGGGCAGTTGGTCGACGGCAGCCAGCCCGACTTGCGCGCGTCCTTGCCGCCCACCATCTCCGAGTCCACAAACCCGGGGCAGATGGTCGTCACGCCCACGCCCGTCCCCTTGAGCGCGCCGCGCAGCCCCTGCCCATAGGCGCGGCCCCACACCTTGCTCGCCGCGTACGAGACGCTCGACGGGTTGGTGCTCGAGCCCGCGGACGCCACGGACGCCATGATGACGATCTGGCCGTGCCCGCGCGCCACCATCCGCTCCATCGCCGGGCTGACTGTGTTGACGGTGCCCATCACGTTGGTCGAGTTGACCACGCCCGCCTTGTGCCAGAGCGGCGAGCCGCCGGGCACGTTCGACTCGGAGCAGCCTGCGTTTGCGACCACGAGGTCGAGCGGCGCGTCCTCGTCCGCGGCGGCCACGACGGACGCCATCATGTCTGCGTCCGTCACATCCGCCGGCACGGCGGTGACCACGGCGCCGAGCGCCTCGCACTGCGCCTTGACGGCGTCCAGCTTTGTTACCCGCCGTGCGGTGAGCACGAGGCGGACGCCGGGCTTTGCGTACTGACGAGCGAGCTCGGCGCCGATGCCGCTGCTGGCGCCCGTGATCAGCACCGAGGTTGGCCGCAGCGTGTTTGCCGGCCGCGAGCCGGCGGACCTGACGAGGGCGGAGACCATCTGAAACGGCCCGACGATGGCGAGGACCACGCCCGCGAGCGCCGCCCAGGCCGACTTCATGTGCAGCAGAAGAATGGAGCCGTAGAACTCCTCATTTGTCACCTCGTCCGTCTGCGTCGGGTGAAGGAGCTTCAAGGCGCCGGCCATCAGGGCGCTGGAGGAGAGCAGCACGAGAAAGGCCGGAAGCATGACCGGAATGAGGGTGAGCTGTACGAGGAGCATGGCCAGCACGAGCGGGAGGGCGAAAAGCTTGGCGACGGTTGACATGTGCGAGCTGGATACACGCGTCGTGGGGCGTTGTCGCGGGTCGAGAGATGTCCTCCGGTCGGTGCCAAGGTCGTCAGGTCTTTGCCTTCAAGTCGGAGGAGGCTCGGACTTTTTATATTTTTTTATTTTGGAAGCTCTTTGGAAGAGCACCTTGGAGTGCTGGGGGGGCGACAGGGAGGATGTGGCCTTGAGTTATGTGTACGCCAACTCAGGGTGTGTGGCAGCCAGCTGGCTGTGTGTCCTGTGAGCCTGTTTGTGTCTGTCTGTCTGTGTGAGAGAGAGATTTTTAGCAATACCAAACAACTCTCACTCACACGTCATTTGGGGCCTGGAGCCCTGTTCACGCGCGCGCGAGACGTGCGGACAGGGTTGCCAGGTGAGAGTGTTTGTCTGTGTGAGTGTCGCTCGTGCGTGTCGTCATCATCTGTCTAGCGTCCACCCATACCGCGTTGGTGTCCAGTCCGAGCCTGGCTGTTCTTCACCTTTCTACCTACCTACCTACGGCAAGAACAGAAACCCCGCCCCCCCACGGCATGGGGGGTATGGTCCTGACCGCCCAAGGCTAGCCCTACCTACCATACCCCAAGCAGGTCTTCCAAGAGGCGGGGGGTATGGTCTCGAGGTGGGTTGGCCGAGGGCACCATACCATACCCCGGAAAAAATTTGGCCGGGATCTGCTTGCCAACCCAATGCCTTCTCCTTCTCCTTGGAATTTGGCCCTCAGGCCTCCTTGTCTTCAAAGGAGTTCTGCATTCCGACACGCTTAGACGCTATGGCCTCGACTTCCCACTCCTCGATCGGCGCCAAGTCCATGTCATCCGTCTCCTCCCGCGCCACGACCGCCACTGCCGCCGCCGCCGCCGCCGCCTCCGCCATCGTCGTTGCCAGCCTCGTCGCCGCGCCGCCGCCCGACTTCTCCGCCGCGCTCACCGCCCTGCAGTCCGTCTTCGACATCGACCGATTTGACAGGTTCATAGCGCTGTTCGGCGTGTGGCCCAACAAGGAGATGGTCCTGGCCGGCGACTACGCCGGCTGGTGCATCACGACCCAGTGCCTCGACCAGGCCTTCCAGCTCTCGCGCTCGGAGCTGCGGCTCGGCAGCTTCTCCATCTCCGAGGCGTTCGTGGGCGACTTCTCGCCGTTCCGCTACGCCTTCTCGCTCCTGGCCGCCGCCGTCCTGGGCAACTTCTTCATGTGGACCACGGGCATCATCGCGCGCCTCCTCTTCACCCACTTTGACGCGTCCAAGTGCAGTCTGCCGAGCCAGCTGCCGTGGCCCGACCCGCCCGGCCAGTCGCAGCCGTTCGACGTGCCGGTGATGGAGGCGAGCGAGGAGCAGGTTGCCCGCTTCCTGGCCTTCCGCGGCGTCGCACCTCCGGCGTCCGACGCGGCGCGGCGCGAGACGGCCGCGCGCGAGGCCATGGCGTACATGCAGGAGCTGTGGGATGCCAAGCACAGCGGCTGGTGCCACAAGCGCTACGCGCTCAACGAGAAGGGCCTCGCCTTCCCGTACCGCGCGCCCTTCATGAACGACTGGAACTTCGTCAACGAGCACTCGCCCAGCCTGGCCACCGTCGGCTTCGGGCAAGTCGTTTTTGCGCTCGAGCATTTCCTCGTCGGCACCGCGCTCCCGCTGCTCTACCTCTTCCGCCGCGACGACTCGATCTTTTACTTCGTCATGTACGCCGACATGGCGTGGGAGACGTACGACATGCTCGCGATGTTCTACCGGCGCCTGTCGCCGACGGGCGCCGACTACACCATCTCGCGCTACAACAAGGCGATCGACAACGTGATGGTGCCGCACCACATCTTTGGCGTCGGGTTCGAGATGATGGCGCTCATGGCGGGCCCGGGCATCTCCAAGGCCTTCATGGCGCAGGTGCTCATCACGAACCACTTCTCGGGCGGCATGATGCTCCTCGCGATGGCGGTCCACCAGACGCCCGCCATGTCGTGGCCAAAGGCGCTGCTCAACTTCCAGCGGCTCGTCCTCGGCTCCCTCTACGCCACCCGCATCGTCTGGTGGGGGCCGATGTCGGTGGCGTGCCTTCGCCTCACCTACATCTATACTGGCGACTTCCCGGACTACATTGCTAGCCTGGGCCTGCGCGGCCTGGGCTATGAGTACCCGCTCCTCTCGCCAATCTTCCTGGCTGTGTTTGTGCTGCTGGTCTTCTACACCCACTTCAATCTCGATCTCGTGCAGGTCAACAAGAAGCTGCTGCGCAAGGCCGAGGGACGTGCCGCCGCGGCAGCACGCGGCCGTGGGATGTAAGCAGCGTGGCGTGTCTGCTAGAGGCACGTGTGTGTTAGAGGCGTGTGCTTTGGCGTGCTGGATGCGCTCTCTCTCCACTCTCCTGTCGTGTTTTGTGTTTTGTCTATTGATATTATGACCCCCTCCGGCCTCGGAATTTGAAGCGGCGTGTCGCACACGTCCATGGCAGCCTTGCCGCATGTGATGACGCTGCGTTTCCTCCTGGCGTGAGGCACCGGAGAGAGTCTCGAGACGACGCGAGTCGTCCGCACGAGTCGTAGCTGGCTCGCATATTTGCTCGCTCGTCGCGGTAGTCGCGCAGCTACACTCGCAGACGAGCTACAAGAATTTAGTCAGAGAGTCGCCACATGAAGTTCTTTTTCAAGAGGGCCGCGTAAAATTCTTTTTCAACCGATCCTTGAGGTGCCCCGAGGGCAACAATGGTCATCGCCAGGTCCTCACTCGGCGTCTCCTCCCTCGTCACGACCATCAAGGCTCAGAAGTCCCCGTCCGGTGCCTCCTGCCGCGCCACGAAAGACAACCACCAGCACTCGCTCAGCGTATCCTCCCACTTCACAACCGCCGTCGCCGCTGTCGCCGCCGCTGTCTTCGCCGCCCTTGCCAGCCTTGACCCTCTCGAATCCGACATTGCAATCTTCAACCGCATCATCGCCCTGACCGGCGTGTGGCCCAACAAGGAGATGGTCCTGGCCGGCGACTACGCCGGCTGGTGCATCACGACCCAGTGCCTCGACCAGGCCTTCCAGCTCTCGCGCTCGGAGCTGCGGCTCGGCAGCTTCTCCATCTCCGAGGCGTTCGTGGGCGACTTCTCGCCGTTCCGCTACGCCTTCTCGCTCCTGGCCGCCGCCGTCCTGGGCAACTTCTTCATGTGGACCACGGGCATCATCGCGCGCCTCCTCTTCACCCACTTTGACGCGTCCAAGTGCAGTCTGCCGAGCCAGCTGCCGTGGCCCGACCCGCCCGGCCAGTCGCAGCCGTTCGACGTGCCGGTGATGGAGGCGAGCGAGGAGCAGGTTGCCCGCTTCCTGGCCTTCCGCGGCGTCGCACCTCCGGCGTCCGACGCGGCGCGGCGCGAGACGGCCGCGCGCGAGGCCATGGCGTACATGCAGGAGCTGTGGGATGCCAAGCACAGCGGCTGGTGCCACAAGCGCTACGCGCTCAACGAGAAGGGCCTCGCCTTCCCGTACCGCGCGCCCTTCATGAACGACTGGAACTTCGTCAACGAGCACTCGCCCAGCCTGGCCACCGTCGGCTTCGGGCAAGTCGTTTTTGCGCTCGAGCATTTCCTCGTCGGCACCGCGCTCCCGCTGCTCTACCTCTTCCGCCGCGACGACTCGATCTTTTACTTCGTCATGTACGCCGACATGGCGTGGGAGACGTACGACATGCTCGCGATGTTCTACCGGCGCCTGTCGCCGACGGGCGCCGACTACACCATCTCGCGCTACAACAAGGCGATCGACAACGTGATGGTGCCGCACCACATCTTTGGCGTCGGGTTCGAGATGATGGCGCTCATGGCGGGCCCGGGCATCTCCAAGGCCTTCATGGCGCAGGTGCTCATCACGAACCACTTCTCGGGCGGCATGATGCTCCTCGCGATGGCGGTCCACCAGACGCCCGCCATGTCGTGGCCAAAGGCGCTGCTCAACTTCCAGCGGCTCGTCCTCGGCTCCCTCTACGCCACCCGCATCGTCTGGTGGGGGCCGATGTCATATGCGTGCCTCCGTCTGGCGTACATTTACACGGGCGACTTCCCTGTCTACGTCACAAACCTCGGCCTGCGCGGCCTGGGCTATGAGTACCCGCTCCTCTCGCCAATCTTCCTGGCTGTGTTTGTGCTGCTGGTCTTCTACACCCACTTCAACCTCGATCTGGTGCAGGTCAACAAGAAGCTGCTGCGCAAGGCCGAGGGACGTGCCGCCGCGGCAGCACGCAGCCGAGGAAAGTGAGCGAGAAGGAACCAACCGGTTTGCGTGTGCGCTAGATGTGTGTGTGTGTGTGTGTGTGTGTGTGTGTGTGTGTGTGTGTGTGTCGTTGCGTTGTCGCCATGTCCATTTGTCAATGACGTTCATTTGCCTTTCATATCCTCAAGAGTCAAGTGGCTGACCTGTCGAGGGATCTGGAGCTTGTACGTGTGTCTCTCTCTCTGCTTGCAGGGCCTGAGAATGGGCTGCCATGCGGTCACATGAACAACTGTGGCTGCAACCAGCATGGGATGGTGCGGGCGTGCGGACAGGATATCAAGCTCGAGGACCTCGAGAGAGGAGGTTTGTTTGAGGTGAGCCACCTCTTGGAGCACTCGGAGTACGGTCATCAACCTCACATCCAGGGCCGTTCGGCCCCGCCGCTGCGCGTGCTCATGGCTCGCCTTCTTTGGCTTCGCCGAGGGAGAGACGGCGCTCATGGCTCGCCCCTGTTCACGTTCCCGATGCTTACAAACATCGTCGGCCACCCAGATCTTCCGCTCAGCGTGATGGGGGTCAATCCACGCGAAGCACAGGTCGTCGAACAGTTCGATGAAGAGCGGTCGATGGCCATCGGTACTTCGTACACGCGACTAACGCCGCATATCGCGGTGAGTGACGCGCGCTTCGTCGACATCGGTGTCGAGTGCGATATCACGCTCGAGGTGTATCAGTCAGTAGATCTACACTGTACGTGACTCGCTAGTTGCATACGTCCTGCTTACGCCCTACTCCCAGTGCTTGATTTTGTCTACTGGCATTCAATAAATATAAAATGAGAGAGAGAGCGATACCAAGCGCACAGGCACGCCGCAAAAAACACCGCCAGGGGAGCCGACGAGCCCGCCTCGAGTCTAATAAACGAAAGTACAGAACAAGCACAACCGGGTGCGGATCGCGTGCGATGCGCCAGAGGCCCACCTGTGACGCGAAGGGTCCCAGGAGATAGGGGTTGCTGGGAACAGGTGGGTGCGGAGAAAGGAGTAGCCGCCTTGAGAACAGATGGTGAGGGAGACACCACACCCCGCGTGAGGTGGAAAATGTCTCACACCCCCATGAGCGCGCGGTGGCGGGCCGCCTCGACGGCGTCCTTCTCGGCCTCTTTCATTGCGGTGCGGTACAAGCAGCACGTCGCGCAGCAAAAGAGCGGGAGCGCGATGATGATCGTGATGATTGTGAAGATGAGCGGGATGTCCGCGGGGTCATCTGTGCTGAGGCCGCCGATGCCCTGGCCCTGGGGGCTGATGAGCAACTCGGGCAGCGGGGGCGGAGAGGGCGGCGGGACTGGTGGCGGCAAAGTGGGTGGCGAAGAGGGCGGCTGCAGGATCTCGCAGCAGTGGTCGAAGCAGTGCGGCAGCACGTCCGCCGGGAGGCCGTTGGTGCGTTCCGGGTGCGCGACCCGCTGCGAGGCCGGAATCTCGCCGCACTCTGTGGGTGTCAGCCCGGGGCAATGCTCCATGTGCGGGCAAACGTGCTTGCCGTCACGACCCACCCAGCCGCAGTCGCAAGGCGTCGGGCAGCAATAGTGGTGGCATCGGTCCGTCTCTCCACCGAGCCAGCCCGTTTGCGGCCGGGTGTCCTGCGGGAGGCAGAGCGGCGAGTTGGGCGTGTGGTTTGCCGCGGTGTGATGGTATTGTATGGGGCACGACGGCATTGCGCGTGATGGCATTGCGAGGAAATTCGGGTGCAGACGCGGCTGTGCTGCACACACCGGGTGATCGCAAGGGTGGTCCTCCGTCCAGGAGCAGTCGCAGGTGTAGGAGGCATCCGCCGAGGCGACTGCGAGAGCGATGAAGACAGGGATGCGGACGGGGCGCGACGACCTCATTGCTTGTCGCCGATCAAGGCCGATCAAGGCTTGAAGGACCCGCCCGCCGGCGATGGTTCAAGGAGCCCTTTCCTTTAAAATCCTTTCCCCCCATTTTATTTCCGCTGGTGGTGCTGGTTTTGCGCAGCCTGATTTACGGTTTTTTACTTTTTTCACGTGCTACAATCCTATTTACCGGGTTGCGCCTTACCCACCCCCCCCGAAAGGAGCCAAGGCTCTCTTGGCCTCGGCGACGGCCGCTCTCCTCCTCCTCATCTCCTCGCTCACGGCCCTCGTTGCCGCCATGTCCGAGCGCACATCGATCCCGGACGCCAAGACCCTCCAGCGCCTTCGCTCCGACTACGGCCAGGCCCAGTCACGCGAGGCTCCCGTCAGCGTCGCGATGGCGCAGCAGGAGCCGCACAAAGAGCCGGGGTGCGTGAAGAAGACGCATCGCTACTTCTGCGGCTCTGTCAAGGCTACGAGCTACACCATGCTGGCGATGATTTCGTTTGCGGCGCTGTTCTGGGTCCCGATTATCTGGTACGTCATCGTGCCGGCCATCCTCAACATGCTCGCCGGCGCCACCTCTGTCAACATTAAATCGGCGACGATGGCGGATCCAACGGCAACCAATATGAAGGTTTCCGCGGTTGTCGAGATCAACAATGCGGGTGCGCCGCGCCCACAGCGCTGCCGCCGCCACTCCATTCCCGCTATCCCCTCGCCTCCAGACCTCTCGCTTCCCACCTTTCAGCCCGTCCTCCGCCGCCGCCGCAACAGGTCCCTTCGGGTGCGACATCGATGCCTTCAACGCCACCATCCACAGCCCGCCCGAGGATAGCGCGCCGAATGGCCGCCCGATCGGCTGGATGGTGGTCCCGCCATTCACCCTCAAGGGCAACGGGCCGGGCATCATCAACCCGACCACGATGGTGCACGTGACCGACGCCGCGGCGTTCAATAAGGCGCGACTCCCACCACCACACCTCGCCCGCACCCTGCGAGCGTCCGATGCCGCCGCCACACGCGCCGCCTCGCCCGCTCTCAGATGGCGAAAGGCATGCTCAACGGCGACGACGTGCCGTGGCGCATGACGAGCGAGATCACCGTCTGGTCGATGGGCATCCCCTTCTCGATCTCGATCGACAAGCAGACCGTCTTCCCTCCGATCGAGCTGACGAATTATGCGACGTCCAACCTCGAAATGTCGCACGGTAACACGACTACCAACCAGCTCGTGATTGACGCTGACGTGAGCTTCTACTCCTCCTCGCCGATGCGGCTCGAGGGCTTCGGGACCATCAAGGCGGAGCTCTACTACAGCGTGGCTGGCAACGACCCCGACCTCAGCCCCGAGGCTCGCTTGAGGCAAGGCGGCCCGCCGATTCGGGACGACCACGTCAAGATTGGCGAGTGCCATATGTACGACTACAGGGTGGAGCAGGGGATGAACACCATCCAGACAAAGATCTTCCTCGACGCAAACTACGCAACGGGACAGTCGCTCGGACGCTGGGCGTCCGAGTTCGACCAGACCATCGTCTCGTGGGGCCCGACCAATGTCTCGCCCTTCATTAATGGCATCTGGCTGGGCGCCAACGGCATGCCGGGCTCGACCATCACCCTGTACACCGCAACCTTTGTCACTGCGGAGACCCTCGGCGCGCGCCCGCATGCCCGCTTCTCCGCCCTTGCCTCCCCCACCAACACCCCCACCCACCCCGCCACCCCCCTCGCTTCCGCCCCCCGGCACTGCGCGATGACGCTCCCGCCCCGCCGTTCGCAGTCACCGGCTACAACCCCAAGACGGGCGAGCCGTGCAAAGTATGGGACGGGAGCACCGAGTCGTGCGATCGGGGTTCGACCATCATGGGCATGAACCCCTTTAAGCGCGAGTGGTTCATCAAGGACATCGTGTACGACACGTACTTTGAGGAGGAGTACGAATACGACGGCACCTTCATGGCCAAGCCCGTCCCAGGCCAGGAGGATGTCGAGGTGCCGTTCGCCGGGGGCACCACTGTCGGTAACCTCTTCAACATCCCGGCGGTCGACTTTACGTGCAGCGCTTCCAAGGTGCTCGGGCGCACCTTCTCCAAGCCGGGCATGTGGGCCGGCTACCCGAACCACTCTCCGGGGGTGGGCCTCTCCTACCCGCCCGACGACCCGAACACGACCGACGTCGACGAGAACCTCCAGGCGCGGCTGGCTGATGACGTCATACCGGTCCCGCCTGCGAGAGTTGCGGCGGACGGCACAAAGATCCCGACGAGTTATTCGTTGACCATGCCCGTGCACCCGATCCCGGGAATGACAGCGGTCCCGGGTGCACCCGATCCCCCGCCGCCGTGCATCTGGGGCCTGAAGGACCTCAACCCCTTTGACTGCTGCATGACCACGATCTTTACCGCGGCCGCGTGCAAGGCGGCGGAGTCGGGCAAGAAGCAGATCACGGTGAGGAGCTCGGGCTCGGCGGTGATGATTGTCGACGGAGTGGAGCTCAACATCAGCACCTCTATCCGGATGCCCGTCACATACACCAAGGACGTGCTGCAATTTGACGCCATTCCGCCCGCCAGCTACGGCGTGCTGGGCCATGTCGTGGATGCCGGCTTTGGCTGTGACGACCTCCGGTTCACCGGGGTCTCGGCGCGGTGAGAGAAGAGTTGATTATCCATGAACGCCAGCCCATGTACGTGATGCGGCGCGCGGGTGGGGCCTTCGGCGTCTTCGCGGCTGATGTGTGCACTCCCGCGGAGGTGTGTCCTGAAACGGGGGTCGGGGCCGGGGGGAGCGGAGAGAGAGGGGTGTACGTTGTCTTGTGATATAAACGTGGCTGATACGTAGACTCAAGTCTGGTCCCTCTGTTTGTTTTGACCAGAGAGGCCCATCAAATCACAAGCCGCCTTGGCCCGCTGCTGCTCTCTCTCTCTCCATCTCCCCTCCGCTTCACTACTTTCCGTCCTAACACACACACACACACACACACACACACACACACACACACACACACACACACACACACACACACACACACACACACACACACACACACACACACACACACACACACACACACACACACACACACACACACACACACACACACACACACACACACACACACACACACACACACACACACACACACACACACACACACACACACACACACACACACACACACACACACACACACACACACACACCACTCACACGCACTCTGACAGCAGCAGCAAGGTTCCGGCCCCCGAGTACGCGACGCTCGCGGCCCTCACGCGTCTGTGTAGTTGATGATCGAGATGAGGACGGAGCCGGCCGCCGCGATGATTGGCAGGTTCATAGGCCCGTGGAATACAAAGTGGTCGAGGGTGGCCGTGGTGATGATGGCGGTGGAGAGGGCGAGGTTCTTGATGATGGAGTCGCAGTACTTGAGGACCAGCCTAACGGCCGAGGCGCGAGCAGGCGTGTGACTTCAGAGAGGCACCCCACCCACCCCCTGGTCCTGAGAACAACTGGTCCCAACCGCGCGCGCAATCTCCCCGCGATCTCCCGCAATCTCCCCGCGATCTCCCGCAATCTCCTCGCGATCTCGTGCTCACCCGATGAGGATCCCGCCGAGCGCGCCGAGACACGCGACCACCACCGTCACCCCCGACCAGCCATGCAGCATGTCGCCTACGTTGCAGGGAAGAGTGGTCGAAGGCGCTCCCCCCCCTGGCACGACAGCCGCGGGGCATGCCGTCGCCCGGGTGAGCGTGCTGCGCCATCGGGACGTAGATGAGCAGAGAGTAGCCCGCCAGCTGGACGTTTCTCTCCCACAACGACAGCGCCGTCGACTTGAGCACCCTCTCAAAGTAGACGTTGCTCAGGCCAGAGAGCATCGCCTCGAGAGTGACAGCGCTCACGCCGACGACGTAGTCGTGCCACGCCCGCTCCGTCGGCCCGCCGCCCTCGCCCGCCATGGCCTCGCGCATGTCTGCTGCCTGCTGCATGTGCTCCGCAGTGGCGAGCGTCTCCCGCGGCGGCGGCGCGCACGCGGCTTGCGGCTGCGTCTGGTGGCAGATGATGAGCACCGAGAGGAAGAGGGTGAGGATCGCCCGCCACCGCGCGAGCGAGAGGAGCCTCTGCAGCAGCAGCCGCGAGAGGACGGCGGTGAAGAGGATTTTTGTCTGCGGGGTGGGCGGGGCTTGGGGACAGGGCGGGACAGGCGGACGGGCGTCGGTCATGCAAGGCGCGAGCGGGGAGGGGAGGGGGGTGGGCGGCAGCAGAGGCAATGGAGGAGCGGCAGGAGAGGTGCCTGGCCACGACGCTCGCGGGTTGGCATCGGTCTCGGAAGTGTCTCGGAAGCGTCTCGGAAGCGTCTCGGAAGTGTCTCGGAAGTGTCGCCTGCTGGATGAGCGTAAAGGACGAGGCAGAGATGCGCTCCAGCGCGACGAAGGAGAGGAGGTTCATACCAAGGAAGATGAGCGCGGGCACCTGCGGGGGCGGAGGCAACGGCCGGATCGGTGACGGCTCGCGACGGCGGCGGCGGCTTGGGCGGCGGAGGTGGCAGTGGCGGCAGTGGCGGCGGCGGCGGCGGTGCGGTGGCAGCGGGGGCGGAGAGCTGGCGTGTCGAGGTACCCCGCAACCTCCCGCCCCAGCTCCCCAGCCGGTGCGAGCGGCAGCGAGGCTGCTGGCGGGCCGGCGGGCTGAGGGCCGCGAGCGTGCAAGGGCGCGGCGCACCGCCATCTTTGCTGACGTGCGCACAAGCTTGAGGCTCGTCTCTGCAAACCAGCGCGGTCCACGCTTCGCGCTGTCGTGGAGGCGTGCCTCGCCTGGATCGTCCGGCGACTCACGGAGGATCATCAGCCACGAGAAGCACAGCTTGAGCACCTCGCCAACCGCGAGAATCGACTGCGCCGACGCCTCCTCGTGCAGCACACCCGACGAGTAGCGCCGCAGCAGCACGTATGAGCTGTTTTGGACAGAGAGGAGGCAGCAGACGCCGGCGTGGAAAGGCGAGAGATTCGGCATCCGCCCACTCAGCCCGCTCGAAAGGTGTTCTGCTTTGACTAGCAGACCCTCTTCCTCGGCGTCCTGGCTATCCCTGCTCGGCAGGACCACGGCCGGCGAGACTGAGCGCTCCTGCTCGTGAGCAGTGCCCTGCGAGCGGGTCTTTGCGAACATGCGGGTTCGAAGACAGCCACCGTGAGAGTTTGGCCCCGGTTGTTAGCGAATAAATAACGCACCGGCCCACAGCGGAGCTGGGAAGAGGACCGCCGCTAGCGGTGTGGCGTGGAGCGGTTGTGCATCCCTCCGGGGGCCCCTCTGCGCCGGGGAGGCGTTGTTGGAGGCTAGGACGCAAGCGTCCGTCGCCCTTTTCAAACTCGGGGCCCACTCCGCTACGCTCCGACCCGAATTTGGAGGGCCTAAAAGTTTAAGGTGTTGCTGCGCAAAAGGGGTCGGACACCGGGCGCAGCTCATGCTAAGAGCTAGAAGAGGAGATAGAGAGAACAACCACCCTGTCCCGTTATTGCGTACACCAACACCACAAAACGCTCTCTCTCTCCTGTCCTCACTCAGGGGGGTCACAACTACCAAGTCCCTCGACTAGCTGCCACAGGGCGCAGCTGCCACAGGGCGCAGCTGGAGACGCTCCCCCTCAATCGGCATCCACCCCCACCCGCTCCAGCCCCACTTTGCGGGCAGAGCCCTTAGCCACCCTTTTATCTTGCGCGGTCAAAATCGAGGACGCGACTCGACACCAGCTCGCGACCTGAGGGATCCCTGTGTGGTGGCTGCGTGCCGTCCTCCCTTCCCTCCCTTTTTTCTGTTTTCTTTCTTTCTTTGCGACCTGAGGGAGAGTGTAGAGGATGAGGCTTAGGGGACCCCTAGGGTTCTGAGGGCCGGATTTCCGTGCGCCTCCGCACTCCTCTCGGCGTTCGCCTCTCGCCCTGCTGCAGCATCCGTGCCCATCTCTGGCAGCCGATCGCCGAGCGCCTCCTCAAAGCATGCGAGAATCTCGTCGCTCAGAAGCCAGACTTGAGCACGTCGTCGGCAGCGCGGATGCTCGCCCGCACGGCCCGCCGTCGGTCGAGGTCTCGTCTTAGTTCTGGCAGCGTCGGCGCCGGCCTGCTCCCACGCTGGCCACACATCATGCTGCGCTTCGCGAGCAATCGCGTAACGAGGCTCGCTGGCTTTTTTTGTGGCTTTTTGGACGGCTTTTTTTTATTCTCCCGCCCTCTTACGTCCTACCCCTCTGTTGGATTTTTTAAAGACCTTTTTAAGAAACGAGGAGATTTGGGGGCTTAAGTTGCCGTTTAAGAGATTGCAGGCACGGGGGGTCCCTCTTTTAAGACCGTTCAAGGAAATCGGCCTCGCCGGCATGCGTCGCTGGGTTCCGCGCCGTTTTTCTCCAACACTGCCGTTATTAGGCACAAACCCGCCTCTGAAGACACATCTGTAAGTCTGGTGCACTGGCAGGAGCCATACTCGCATATAGGGGACGCGTGCTAGCTGACTGTAGCCAGCTTCCCGGCCTCCGGCGTCTACCGGGAGCCTCCGGGAGCCTCCCGGACCATCGACCTCGGGAGCTCTCCCGCACCGTTTAAGCGTTTAAGACCGTTTAAGGAATTGGCGGCCCAGCAGCTCTTAAAACTTGCCCAGGCAAGTTTTAAGCCGTTTACCGCAGGCGCCCCAGGGCCCACCCTTTTAAGCCTAGGGGTCCCCTAATGGATGAGGAGTGTAGAATCCCGCGCGCGTCCACCGCCTGCAAAAGATCTGCACGTCTCGCGCGCGTGAACAGGGATCCAGGCCCCAAATGATGTGTGAGTGTTAGAGTTGTTTGGTATTGCTAAAATTTTCTCTCAAGGCAGGCTGGTCATGACGCAGTCCTCAGGGTGCTCTTCCGTCAGAGTGTGACTCTCTGTGTGTCAGGGATAATCAGGGCCGTTCATCAGAGCTCCAGTAAGCTCGGACGTCGGAGACATCCCATTAGCCATTAGTGCGGCTCGACCTCTTTGAGGCACTGCCTTCCCGGCGGTTTGGCGCTCTACAGGAGTAGAGCCCCTCTACAACAAACTCTACAGCAATATCGCGCTCTACATCGACTCTACAACGCAGGCGGTTCGTCCCGCGCTGCGGGATGTAGAGCTGTACAGCTCTAGCGCTCCAGAGCGCTCTACATCTCTACTACAGCTCTACAGCGCTCTAACACTCTAATACATCCTTCTGCACGCCCTCCCTCAGGGTCAGGCTCTCAGCTCGGCCTCTCGCGCGGGCCTCGGCAGTCGGCGCTGCTGTGGCCTCTGCTGTGCGTGCTGGCTGCTGCGCTGGAATCGCGACAACGATGGTCGTCGCGCCGCGAGGCCAAAAGTTACGAGGCAGCGGCATCGGCTGCAGGGGGCGTGCGCGGAAGTACCCTCTATCTCAGGGTCAGCTTGATGTCATATTTAATTATATAATAATATTTATCTCTCTACGTTAATTTCCGGGGAGAGGAGGCTACCTCGATAGTACCGCACTCCAAGTAATCCCCAGGGTTGGCGCTTACAGGCCCACCTTGACACGTACAACGGGCGAGCGCGACTCCTGCGCCTCGGGTGCGCCCGCCGCGTCCCCACCCTCCAAGCCCAAGCCGGCCATTCCGTTGCCCAACAGCTCCAAGTCGCTGGCGCTGGACACGGGCGAGCCCATGGGCGACGCGGAGGGCGAGGGCAGCGGCGTCGGCCCGAGGGGTGTGCACCCGGACGACGACTCGGCCGATGAACTCTGAGACGAGCCGCCTCTGTTGGACGGACGGAAGAGCCGCCCGAGCGTCAGGCTCTTTGGCTTTCGTGGTGGCGCGCTCGCTGCCCACGGCGGCTGCCCCAGCCACACGGCGACGCAAGTGATGTCGTCGCGCAAGCCGCGCGTCTTGAGCGCCTTGGTCGTCACCCGCTCGGCCGCGTCCGTGGCCGTGGCGCACTCGCGCACCAGCGCGGCGACCTAGGGAAAGGCGAAAAGGGCAGGGTAAACTCCTGCATTCGTGTACCAAGGCCCAGGCGCGCGCGGGTGAGCAGTGGCAGCCTGTGCGTGCGAGAGCGCATCCCAGACCCCGTCCGAGCAGGCGACCACGGCGGCGGAGGAGGGGCTGCAGGCGACCTACAGCGGGGAAGCAACACCGAGACCGCTCACCGAAGCGGCCCACCACGCAGGAGGCGGGCAAGTGCAAGCCAGGCGCCGTCTGCAGAGCGGGCACCGCAGATACGTATGGGCAGTCGGCATCGCCGATCGTCCGGGTGACCGCCAGGCCGCCCGGCCACGCTCGGAGGGGCCCGCCTGCGACGCCGCCGTCCCGCTTGACCCTGCCGATCCGCGCGCCAGCCGCTCTGACGCGCTCGAACTCCTCGGGGCTCTCGCTGAGCCTGTGGTCGGTAGTCAGAAGCGTGTGCCCGGTGGCGGAGACGAGCACGGCCGCGGAGTCACCAAGGTTGCAGATGGTCAGCTCGCCGCGGCCCGCATTCCACACCACAATCGTGAGAGTTGTGCCGGCCGTACCACTCGTGGAGACGACCAGCGAGTGAAGGCGCTCGCACACGCAGCGGAGTGCTGCTTGGAGAGAGGCTGCGCTGCCGTCCTTCGTCTTGGAGACCACGAGAGGAAGCGCGTTGTCCGCGCTGATTTGTGCCGCCTCCGAACCGGCGTGGCCGTCGGCGACCATGATAAGCAGCAGCGCCTCTCCGCCGGCTTCGGCCTCGAGCCAGCTCATAGCGTCCTCACCCTTCTTCGAGCGTACGCACAGGCCGACAGCAGCCATTGCGGAAGGCGAAGGAAACGCGTGCCCGACGGCAGCCATTGGCGAAGACTGCTGAGCGTCGACACCTGTGTCACAGGACAACATGCAACATCGGCAGACAACCGGCAGTGTGCCCGGTCGGGGGATCTCGGCGACGAGATGAACACGCGCTTGCGCCCCCGCGGCCCTTCTCGAGAGAGAGAGAGAGAGAGAGAGAGAGAATAGCTCCGCCGTTCATGGAGGCAACCGATGCGAGTCGACTGGTGTGTGTCGTCGTGGTTTCGTATCAAGAATTCTCTCTCTCGCGGCCCTTCTCCTATCGATTTCCCTATGCTAGTTCGTGGGTTTCGCGGGAGTGACCCCATGTGTCAAACCCATGGCCAAACCGCAAACCATATCAAACGGCAAACGCCAGGCCACAGCACCGGACACCGCACACGGGGTCGGGGAGGGAGGCACGTGTAGCACGGAACCTCAACTCTCATAGACTAGCGCGCAGCACACACACACACACGCGCGGGTATTTCTTCTTATAAAGATCGGCGATCTCTTAGATGAGGTGCGCTCCACTCATACAATCACTCATACAAAGACCGACGAGATCGAACCGCCCGGCAGGAGCTTGCCGCTTGCCCCCGCGGCCCTTCTCCTAGCCTGGCTGTTCTTCATCTTCCTAACTAACTAACTAACTTCTCCTATCGAATTCCCTATCTATTGCCCCAGCTAGTTCGTGGGTTTCGCGGGAGTGACCCCATGTGAGAGAGATTTTCAATACCAAACAACTCTAACACTCACACGTCATTTGTGGGGCCTGGAGCCCTGTTCACGCGCGCGCGAGACAAGCCCATGACCTAGCGGATGCGGGATGGGTTGGAGGGGGGGGCACCCAGGACGCGGCCCACAGACAGACGGACGGGCCAAAAACCCACTCGCCACGGCCAGGCCACACCGTGTCCGTGAGCCACACCCCACACGCGGGGAGCCGCGACACACACACCCGCGGGTATTTCTTCTTATAAAGATCGGCGATCTCTTAGATGATGTGCGTTCCACTCAATCACTCTTGAGATGGCATCTGCCAGATATGTGCGGCGCCCCGGGACCATCGACCAAACGGCACGCACAACTCACACCAGTTCCTTGAGGAGGCGCAGACGCTCGCGCATGTCTTGCAAATCGTTTGCAGGCGTGGTCCAGATCGCCTTGGCATGCTCGTGCGCCGCGAGCACAAACGCATCGTCCTCGAAGAGACGATCGCGCGCGTACAGCAGGACCTGCCGCAAGTGCGCCCTCAGGGTGGCGGAGGCTGACAGGACTGTCCCTGTTGCCCCGGCCCTGGCAATGAGGGCGAGGGTGGAACGAAAGGTTGCCTGGGCTCGAGCCTGGGCCTGATCCACCGCCGCAAGCACCACCTCCCTGTCTGCCTGCAGGGCTTCCGCCACAAACTCCAGGGTCCGCCCTTCCTTCCTCACCGCCGCCAGAGCGACGTCCTTGTCCGCCTTGATGACCGCCCCCGCCCATCTCAGTGCGTCCCCGTCTTGCCGCACCGCCTCGAACGCGACAGCCCTGTCCGCCCTGAGGGAGCCTGTCGCGTACTGCAGCGCCTGTCCCGACTGTCGCACCGCTTCGAGCACCACCTCCCTGTCCCCCTTGATGCTGCCCGCCGCATAGCGCAGCGCCATTCCATCCATGCGGACAGCCACGAGCACGACGGCCCGGTCCTCCTTGACGGCGTCGGTCGCATACGACAATGCCCGCGCTACGTACCGTGTGCCCGCCGCGAGCACAACCTCGCTGTCCCCGCGGAGCGCCTCGCTGGCGAGGCCCAACCACGCGCCGGGCCAGGCGCCGGTCGCGCCGGTCCGCACCGCGTCCATCACGATGGACTTGTCCGCCCTCAGCTCGCTGGATGCGTATTCGAGCGCCGTGCCATCCTCCCGGACCGCAGCTCGCACCACCTCCCTGTCGTGTCCGAGCGCCCCGCTCGCGTACGATAGCGCGTCGAGGGCGCTGAAGATCTCGTGCTGGTTTGAAGCCAACGCGCCGAGCAACGCGGCGCGGTCGGCGTCCGACGCGTTTGGCTCTGCCTTGTCGGGGCTTGGGCTCGATCGCAGTGCTGCAATGTTACGAATCGCGTTGCCATCAGAGAGCCGCAGCCGTGCGTTGGATGCGGCGATGGCGGCGCCAAAGAAGAGGGCCGCGGGCGTGCTGAGGGCGCCGACTTTCAGCGCCTCCAGCCGCCTGTACCGCGCCAGATCCATCGAGGGCAGACTCGTCTCGCCCTCAACCCGCAGGTCCGACAGACCGGGCAGCCTGGCCACAAAGAGGGCGTTGCTCCAGACGGCGTCGTCCCGCAGGACAGAGAGCGTCGCGGCACGCAAGTGCGGGGTGAGGCGCTCGCGTAGCGCATAGCACGTGCATGCGAGCGCCCTCTTGCAGGCGAGGGCGACGTGAGGAAGGAGCGCGATCTCAAAGGCGTTGCGATCAAACTCCTCCAGGACGATGGACAGGAAAGCAGAGTCGCCGCTGGATCCGTGCCGCGGGGGCAGGATGGCCGGCGCGCCGAAGAGGGCGGCCGGAGCCGGGAAGCGTGTCCGCGGCCCCGGCGGAGACTCTCGCAGCAGGGGATCTGGGCGCCTGCCCGACATGCACTAGAGGCGCGCTTTGCAGTCCGCAACTGGAGGCGACAGGCAGGAGCCGCGGCGCGTGCATGATTGTTTCTTTTTCAAGTGCCGAGCCCAGTGTTGCGATGGAGTTTTGTTGTAAAATTCTTTTTCAAGAAATGCCGCTAGTATCCCAAAAGCAACACCAACCGCGGGCGGGAGAAGGAGCCCGGTACGGAGGAGCGCATCGAAACGCACGACCACGTCCACGAGGTAGGTATTGCTAAAAATCTAATCACCCGAATACCACGTTCGGATCGCTCCTCATCGCAAACCCTGTCAGCAGTTCACCTACGGGTATGTTCGTAAGAGCTACATACACTGAAAATCGTCCACGAGAGCGAGCTAGAGAGACCGGCACCAATACGACGCGGTATGCATGCTGGGAGGGAGGGTCTCGACGACCATCTCGCTTCTCTCCACTCTCGGCTACGGTTCCGACTCCGGCTTCGGCTAGTCGACAAGCTGCCGAGCCCAAGTCACACTGTCAGTGCCAAAATTCTTGTTGGCTTCTAAATCTCTCTCTCTCTCTCTCTCTCTCTCTCTCTCTCTCTCTCTCTCTCTCTCTCTCTCTGCATACTACGTGTACACATACACTCGTAACAAACAACTCTCTCTGCTGGCTGAGCACCGTTCGGTTGTCCTCACCTCGGCTCGCACTTTGGGTCGGCGCCGACGCAGTGCTTGAGCAGCCAGATCAGGCCGTAGCTCCCGTGTGCGGCCGCGTAAAAGCACGCGCTGACGCTGTAGTTGTCAAAGTACCACATAAGGCCGAGCACAAACGGCAGCGTACCGCCCTTCTGCAGGCTGATGATTACGTACCACGGCACGCAGTGAGGGCCGGGCGGGAAGTCCACGCCGATGAGCTGATTGATTGCCGCTTGCGCGCGCGGAACTGCGTTGGCCTGGTACTTTGGCATCGTCGCGGAGACGTTTCCTTATCTGGAGGACGCACGCGCAGCTACACACGCGGATCGTGATTCTTCTTTCTCACTTTTGTTCGTTGTTCTTTTAGCAAATTATCAATCACACAGAAAAGCGCAGCGGGAGGAAAGCGGCGGAGTCGCAATTCCAGGGGTCGTTGCTGCGGCTCCCGTTTGGTGTGTACTTGTTTCATGAAATCGAAACATGAAAACCCGCAGGGGGTGTACTGTGCAGACTGGTGTTAGTGCCAGTGCGCGCCAGTCCCGTGACTAGTATGTGTGCCGGCGGAATTCTTGTGGTCGCTGGCTGGCGAGACTGACTACCTGGCGAGTAGAGGCCCCGCCCACCCAGGGTACCCTCTCCGAGGACCCATTGGGTGCTCTTTCGAGGGCTCGCCGGGGCTCTGCTCCAAGAGACCTCGAGAGAGCGTGCGTGTGCCTCTATTCGCCAGACTGACTACTGCTGCGTCCATGCCCTTCCTGCTCTGCTGCAGCCTGCTCGCCGCACTCGCAAAGGAGGAGTGCGCCGACTCCTCCTCTCTGGCCGTCGGCCAGCTGGCGGGAAAGCTCGCCGTCATCACTGGCGCATCGCGTGGCGTTGGAGCCGAGCTCGCACGGGTGTACGCCCGTGAGGGAGCGTTTGTTGTGGTGAACTACTTCAGCAGCAAGGAGAAGGGCGAAGCCGTCGCCGCCGAGATCAACGCCGCGTGGCCGTCGCGCGCCCTCGCCGCGCAGGGCGACGTGACGGTCAAGGAGGACATGGTGAAGCTGGTCGCTGATGCCGAGACGCACTTTGGCAGGAAGGTCAGCGTCGTTGTCAACAATGCGCTGCCCCGCTACAAGTTCGACCCGGGCTCATCCATGGCGAGCATTAAGACGGTGTCGACAGAGGACCTGGAGCAGCAGATGAGAGGTACGCTCGCCGGCGCCGTCAACATGGTGCAGGCAGCGCTGCCCTCGTTTGAGGCGTCCAAGTTCGGGAAGGTGGTCAACATCGGCTCCAACCTCGTCGACAGCCCTAGATGGTTATACAGATCCGTGTGTCCCGGCGAGCACTAGAGAGGACACGCAATCAACTGTATTCTCAATTCTAGTTGTAGCCGGTGTATGCACGCGATGCTGCACGACACCGTATTCACACCCTGACATTGGTGAGTTCACGCCGCAGGTGTACAACCCTGTCGTCACGTACTACGACTACACCGCGGCGAAGGCGGCGCTCGTCGGCCTCACGCGCACCACCCAGCCCCTTGCCCAGACACTTCCTTGAGCCTTCCCGCAGGCGGCGCTCGTCGGCCTCACGCGCAACCTCGCCGCGGAGCTGGGGCCGTCCGGCGTGCGCGTCAACCTGGTGGCGGGCGGCCTGCTCGAGACGACCGACGCGTCGGCCCTAACGACCAAGGAGGTGTTTGGCTTTGTGTCCGCTGGCACGCCACTGCGCAAGACGACGACGGTCAACGATTTTGCCGAGGCGTGCAGGTAGATGTACGCACGGTCCAACGCGTCGATTTGCACGACGCGCAATCGGCCGCCGACTGAGAGCACCCGGAGACGACACTCGCCTTTCGAACTGCGATCGCGGTGGGTGGCACGCCGCCGGCCTGCCTCCCAATCACCTGCCCACTGACAGAAGTAGATCGAGGGGAGGAACAGCCGGACCACCGCTGAACGGCGGCGCGTCGAAGAGGGAGTAGCACAGACGTCGACACTCAAGCAGGCGGCGCTGCCACACACACACACAGGCGTGCGTCTTCTTCGCCTCGGACGCGTCGAACGCGGTGACCGGGCAGAGCCTGTCGGTCGATGGCGGGCTGACGATGCCCTGAGACCACCTCGCCGCTGCACAGCGCTTGCCGGAGCCCGACCTCTCCCAGTGCGGCGGGGGGCTGAGAATACCAAACGGCCACGACCTCAGGTTTAACAGACCGAGGGAAAGCGCTCGGGCGGCCGTACGTCGCCGACGATAGGCTATACTAGGCCACGTGAGCTGTGAGCTGTGAGCGTCGCCGCCCGCAGGCAGATTTTGTACGTACGTTGCATGTGAGGTGCGCGCCTCTCACGAATGTCGAATCGCCTCTGCGGCCGGCAGGGCCCCCTCATAGAAAGCATAGACCATAGTCCATAGAAAGAATCACCGAGATCCGGGGAGGTCGTCGGGTGGGGGAACTGAAGTCTGAACGGCCCGCGGATTGGGAGCACTTTGTGTCTCGTAATGAAAAGAAAGAAAGAAAAACACGGATCCCAAGCTCTATAGGGCTGGGGTCGAGGACCCAGACACGTCCCCACCTTTGACGTTTGAGCGCCCTCCTTCTCCGCCTCCTCCCCCGCCAGCACGCAGCAGCGCCTCGGCATGCCGCGTCGACCGCTCGCCCCCGCCTCCGCCGCCGCTCTCGCTCGCGCGCCACTGCGTCCTGCTCCCCCCGAAGCCGCCCCGGCCCTTCCTCCCCGCCCCCCCGCGCGCTGAGATGTGCTCGAGGTAGCGGGCTGGCCCCCTGGACGTCTCCGGCCCCTTACTGCCCGCTGCCTTGTGGGTGACCCAGGTGTACCCGCATCGCACGAGTGCCCGCACAATTCTTTTGGCTGGGCAAGGGAGGGGCGATATGGACTCACGCTCGCCGGGCGCCTCTGGGGTCCCGCCTGGCGCGCTCTTCCCCGGCCGCGACTTCAGCACCAACACCGCATCCCTCATCAACGACTTCCTCGATGACCCCACCTTCATCCAAGGCCTCAGCGAGACGGAGCTCGGCGGTCCGCTCGCTCCCGCCGCGCCAATCGCACCGGATCCCGTGCCGCCGGGTCCCGGCGCGCTGGCGCTGGCGCCGGGCAACGGCTTGGTCGTCGCGGAGCCCATGCCGGCGGGCTCGTGGCGGCTGGTGGTGATGGACCACAAGGTGCACTGCGACGCGGTGCACTGCCAGGGCCCGCAGCAGCTTCAGAAGCGCAGAAAGTGCGAGTTCGCGACGGTGAGCAACCTGCGGCAGTTCAACATCTCGGTGGAGCTGCAGGACGCGAACGGCGCCGTCGTCCGCGATCACGAGGCGGTCAAGCTCAGCGCGGCCGTCGTGTACGAGAACGGCGACGCCATCTCGCTGCGGCAGAATGAGCAGCCCTTTGAGGAGTCGTGCCAAGTGGAGGCGCGTGCGGCAGGAGCACCGCACGCCTCGCAAAGGGCCGCGCTTTGCTCAGCCACGCCCCCCCCCTCCCCCCAGGCCCTCCTCGTCCGCGGCGAGGTCTCCTTCACCTTGCGGCTGGGGACGCAGGCGCACCGCCGCCGCCGCCGCCGCCTCGGGTCCCGGAGCTTTATATGACACGAGGGGAGGAGGCACGAGATGTGGGGGAGGCGAGGGTGGGAGAGGCGCAAGGGTGGGCGCGAGAGGGGGCGGCGGCAGGGAACGTGAGAGACAGACAGCGCGCCGTGCACTTGAGCCGCTAACAAGCGAAGCTCTGCCGACGCCGAGGTTGGCTCAAGTCACCTCCGGGAGTGAGCGAGGCTCTCACCCCCCCGCAGGTCCTCACGGACAAGCACCAGAAGCGGCTCTTCCGCATCCAGATTAGCGCGCCGGAGCAGCCCGCGCTGTGGGTGCGGCAGCCGCCGCCCCTCGCCGCATCCGCCGCCGCCGCAGCCGCCACAGCCGCAGCAGCCGCCGCTGCCGCCGCTGCCGCCGCCGCTTCCCTCCCTCACCCTCCTTCCGGCTCCACGTCCACGCCCCTCCCCCTCCTCCCCACACCAGGTGCAAACCATCCCGATGCGGTCCGTCGTCAAGCTGCCCTGCATGCGCAGGGACCGCAAGGCTGGGGACGGCCCCGACGGCGGCATCTTTTTCAATCCCCCTGTGGACCCGGTCTGCCCCGTGACGCCGCCGACGCCGTCGGCCCTGGCCGCCCTGAAGGAGGAGCTCAAGGAGGAGCTCAAGGCGGAGCTCAAGGCGGAGCTGAAGGAGGAGCTGTGCGTCGCTCTAGAGACACGAGCGCTCTCACACACGCCAACCACAAGCGTGCCCCAGCGCTTGCGCCGTGTCTACCACGCATCTCGTGCCCCTCCGCCCTCCTCGCCTCCTCCCCTCCTCCCCGTGCCCTCCCCCTCCGCCCGCACCGGAAGCCTCTCCTCCGCGAAACCAGGCGCGAGGAGCTGCTCGCCGAGCTCAAGGCCGAGATCGCGACGCAGATGGGCGCGCAGGCAGTCGCGGCCGCGGCGGCGCGGCAGGCGGCGCCGGCGGCGGCGCCTCTCGCCCCCTTCAAGGTGATGTCGGCAAAGATGGAGGAACTCGGTCTGCGGCGGCTCTGCGGCGCCCTCTCTGTCGCGGCGCCCGCCCTTCCCAGTCCCGCGCATTGTGCGTTCCGATAGGCCTCGACGACGGCCTGCCTCCCGCTGGCCGCAGCCTCCCGCTGGACCGGCAGCTTCCCCCGTCGAGGCACGCGCCCGGACGGAGCAGTGCGGGACACGTCTGCCACGCGCCCCCAGACATGCCCCGGACGTGTCGTAGGCACGCGTCGGACAGGCTCCCGGCGCAGGACGCACAGCGGCGGTGCGTCGTGGCGCCCGCCGCCGTCAACGCCGCCGCCGCCGCCGCGGTCGCCGCCGCCAACGCCGCCGCGAATGAGTGCCCTCGCCCGCCGTGAGGATGAGGCTGCATGTTCGCTGTCCCAGCGTTGCATGTTTTGGATGTATCTCTAGGGAGGAACGGCCCTCACTCTAGGCTGAGGGCACGGATCCGCGCGCGAACCGATGCTTATTGTTCGCGCCCCGGCCTCGATCGGAGACGGTGTACCCTGTGATGAGTCTCCCCCCCTCTCTCCATCGCGCGGGCGCTGATATGTCGAACTGCGAGATGTGGGGACAAAAAAAAACACCAAAAGGTGCCGCTCGTCGCGCAGACGACTCATCAGGCGGCGACCCAGGCGGCGACCCAGGCGGCGACTCAGGCGGCGACCCAGGCGGCGACCCTGGCCGGAGAACGAGGCTGCTATCCCGCCATGACCACCACCGTGGCTCGCTACCAGCTCCCGCACGGAGCCCTGTGCGTGTCGAAGGGCAACCTCGTCGCGTTTGACGGCTGCGCGATTGTCAACGCGGCCGACACAAAGTGCCTGTACGGCAAGGGTGTCGACGGCGCAGTCAACAAAGCGGGCGGGCCGGCGCTGATCGAGGCGCGCAAGCAGCTGCCGGTCCGCGCGGGGACGCGCGACGTCCGCTGCCCGGTCGGCGATGCCGTTGTCACGGTCGGCGGCAATCTCCGCTGCCGGCACGTGATTCACGCCGTCGGGCCAAACTTCAATCCCAAGGCGCAGTGGGTGCAGAAGGTGGCGCCGGACGGCGAGGAGAAGCTGCACTCCGCCTACCTGAGCGCGATGCACCGCGCCAAGGAGCACGGAGTCCGGACCCTCGCCTTCTCGCTCCTCTCCGCGGGCTTCTTCCGCGGTGTGCGCGCCAGAGCGCAGCCCAGTCCACACCCGTCCGCGAGTGCACTCTGCCGTGCAAGTCGCCCTGCCGACTGCCCTGCCGCCCTGCTGCGGAGAGCCGCGCTGCTTGCGCGCACGCACGCGCGCGCTGCCCCCACCCCCCGCCCCCCGCCCCTGTGAGCCGCCCGCAGGCCCAAAGCCGCTTGTGGACCTGCTTTCGATCGCGTGCCGCGCCATCCGGGAGGGAGCCTACCCTGGCCTGGAGGAGGCGCGCGCATGCACGCGCGCACGCACGCACACTCACTCACTCACTCACTCACACTCACACTCACTCACTCACACTCACTCACTCACACTCACACTCACTCACTCACTCACTCACACTCACACTCACTCACTCACACTCACTCACTCACACTCACACTCACTCACTCACTCACTCACACTCACTCACTCACTCACACTCACTCACTCACACTCACACTCACTCACTCACACTCACTCACTCACTCACTCACTCACTCACACGGTCCTGAGGTGTGCTCCTCCACACAAGCGTCAACTGT